ACGAACAACATCGACACGAATTCCTCCAACAGGTGTATGGATTTACGGGCGAAGGCATTAATACAAATGACATAACACAGGAGCTCGGAGGTGTTGTGTGCAAAGAAGGTCGCCTTCTTACGTTCCCTAATGTCATCCAACATCGGGTTTCGCCGTTTTCACTTGCAGACCGATCCAAGCCTGGTCACCGCAAGATCATTGCCTTGTTCTTGGTTGACCCTCACATGCGGATTATTTCATCTGCCAATGTTCCACCGCAGCGGGAAGATTGGGGAGTTGAGAGACAAAGGGCCGTTGATGGGGTGTTGTCATCGAAGCTTCCGGTCGAGTTGCAGGACATGGTCCGCGATGGCTTGCCCAAAACCTCTATGACCATGGAAGAGGCAAAGCAGTACCGACTTGAGCTTATGGAAGAGAGGGGAGCACATTCTCAGCGTCATAATCGTGAGTTTGAAAGTGGAGAGTTCTCACTTTGTGAGCACTGAGAGCAGGCATCCTGCTTCCGTATGTATGAGGAGTTTATTCCGTAGTTTATGGTATATTGTTTGACCAGTCAAGTTATTCAATCGAAATTGAAAGTAGCGTCTCCAGTTCGTCTCTCGGACTTATCAATCGTATACTACCAGCCCTGGAGGGACCCACTTCGCATCCATATACCACTTTGGGTAATATTGGCCCACGTGATCACGCGTGGCCATTTTCCAACCTGCGGTACCGTCACAGTCAACACAGAGCACCATGGAGCTTCGACATGGCAGGATCCACGTCAAAGCCAATCCCAGTATCAACACTGAAACGGAAACGAAGCCATGAAAACGATCAACCAGAGCCTGCCGTACCTCTGCCCTCCGACGCGTCGCACTTCAACCTCGCTGTCAAAACGCCCACGAGTACTAACAACCCTGAGCCTAACGCAGAGGGATCCGGAGCCGCAAAGAAACCCTCTATCAAAAAGCCGACCAAAGGGAAGAAGTCTGCTTCTAATTCTGCCTCGAAAGTGCCAAAGCGAACCCCATCCGGGCCACTGCCAGATGCCTTCAAGCGCATTTCACATATCCATCGGGCCTTGAATCTGGTGTATACATTTTGTTGCACGCGCAAGCATTTTGCTACCACCTTCGACAACATAAAGAAGGCAGTACAATCCCAACTTGGCCAGGGACGGGAACTCACCATCGAGGATGTTGCGCGAGTCAAAGTCCTCGTTCCCCAAGCGGTTCGGTTCGAGTATGTGGATGAAGCGAAACTTGAAGTAATGACCTCTGGTGATCAGGAGATAGCTCAATATGGGTTACACAAACGATCGAGTCTAGCAACTTCAGCAGACATGATCACAGCCGAAGACACCGATGGCGACTTTCACGGCTCGGACGGCACCAGACATGTTCTATTGTTTGAATTTGTAGACGGTGATCTAAAGCGAGAGGTACGGCACCCGAAAACCGGGGAGCCTACCAAGCCCACGCGTCGCATGAAAGACGAGGATCTGAAAATGCCTGTCTATAGCCAAAAGCAGATGCTGGGTCTCATTGAGAAGCGCAATGCCAAATTCTCAGACGCTATTAATGCGTTTTTGGTGCAATGCGATGATGACAACATAGACCCTGTTGAGTCTCTTGAGAAAGAGAAGGACGCTTTTCTGCCCACACCTCCAGGCAGTGGGTCAAATACGCCTGCAGTTGTAACCAAGGCGCCGGCAACGATCCCAAAGGAGCGCAAGTCTATCGAGGAAATTATCGCAGAAATTCGGGAGATGCAATGGTATCATGCACAGATTGTGCCCGAAGGCCATCGAGTGTTCGAGGCCCAGTCTCCTGTCTTCGGAGACCTGACATTCCAGCTCTCGCAAGACTTAGTCAACGCTCTTTATAACACCAAAGGCATTACGCAGCTATATTCACACCAAGCAGAGGCAATCAATCACCTGTACGAGGGTCACAATGTGATCGTATCGACCTCGACGAGCTCGGGAAAATCCCTTATATATCAAGTTCCCATGCTTCACGAGCTAGAAAAGGACCCGGAAAGCAGAGGGATGTACATCTTTCCTACCAAAGCACTCGCACAAGACCAGCGACGCAGCATGGTGGATCTCCTACAGTATATGAACGGGTTACAGCATACCATGGTCGAAACATTCGACGGAGACACGCCCATGGGGAGTCGGAACTTGATCCGTGATGAGGCGCGGATCATTTTCACCAATCCTGACATGCTGCACATCACGATATTGCCACAGGAAAGTGCCTGGCGGAGTTTCCTGAAGAATCTGAAGTTTGTCGTTGTCGATGAACTCCACGTTTACAATGGATTATTTGGATCCCATGTCGCTTTCGTTATGCGGCGGCTCCGCAGGGTCTGTGCTGCTGTGGGTAATCACCATGTTAAGTTTATATCTTGCTCTGCTACTGTTGCAAACCCTGAGGACCATATGAAGTCTGTCTTTGGGGTGCAGGATGTGAAATTAATCGACTTCGACGGTTCTCCTTCTGGTCGCAAAGAGTTTGTCTGCTGGAACACCCCATTTAAGGACCCTACTGATCCTACATCTGGACGCGGTGATACAGTGTCTGAGACGGCAAGGCTCTTTTGCCAGCTGATTCTCAGAGGCGTGAGAGTAATTGCTTTCTGTCGCATCAGACAGCTTTGCGAGGTTCTCTTACAGGCTGTTCGAGCCGAGTTCGATAGTCTCGAGCGTACAGAGGTGGGCAAACTCGTGATGGGCTACCGTGGCGGGTACAGCCCTCAAGATCGACGCCAAATTGAGAAGGAAATGTTCGAGGGAAGACTGATGGGAATCGTGGCAACCAGCGCTCTGGAATTGGGTGTTGATATTGGATCACTGGATGCTGTCATCACCATGGGATTCCCCTACTCAATCTCGAATCTGCGTCAGCAAAGCGGCCGAGCCGGACGACGCAACAAGGATTCACTCTCAGTGCTGGTCGGGGACCGGTACCCGACTGACCAGCACTACATGCAAAACCCAGACGAGATCTTCACACGGCCAAACTGCGAGCTGCAAATCGACCTAGCCAACGAACTCATCCTCGAAGGCCACGTCCAATGCGCAGCCTTCGAGATGCCCATCCGCCCAGAAGAAGACAGCGTCTACTTCGGCCACCAACTCCTCGCCCTCGCCCCGACCCGCCTTATAAAAGACTCCATGGGCTTCTACCACTGCAACGAGCGCTTCCGCCCTCAGCCCTCGCGCTGCGTCTCAATCCGCGACACGGAAGACCAGCATTTCGCAGTAATAGACACAACCAACAACCGCAACATTGTCCTAGAAGAAGTCGAAGCCTCCCGCGCCTTCTTCACAATCTACGAAGGGGGAATCTTCCTCCACCAAGGCCAAACCTACCTGGTCAAAGAACTAAACCCAGACAGCCGTTTCGCACGCGTAGTCCGCGTACACGTCGATTGGAGCACAACACAACGGGACTTCACAGACATCGACCCAATAGAAACAGAATCAATGCGTGCCGTAGGCACAGACCCGTCCGCCTCCCGCGCATTCTTCGGCGCAATCCAAATTCACGCCGTCGTCTACGGCTTTTTCAAAATCGACAAGCGAGGCCGTGTCCTCGATGCCGTGGCTGTCGATAACCCGCCCATCGACCTCCTCACAAAGGGCATGTGGCTCGATGTCCCAACACGTGCAATTGATATCCTCCAATCCCACAGATTGAACGTCGCAGCTGCCATCCACGCAGCAGAACACGCTGTTCTTTCCCTCCTCCCCTCCTTCGTCGTTTCATCGCCCGGCGACGTCCGCACCGAATGCAAAGTCGCAAAGAAGGAACTTGGTCGGCCACTTCGCCGCGCGAATGTACCCGATGAATTTGAAAAGAAGCTACAGCCGCCTTCGCGGCAGCGGCCCGCTCGTCTTACATTCTATGATGCTAAGGGTGGATCATGTGGTTCTGGCATTGCGAGTAAGGCATTTGAGTTTATTGGGTTACTTCTTCGGCGGGCGGTTGCGCGGATCGAGGCTTGTTCTTGTCTTTCGCCGCAGGGGTGTGTGGAATGTGTTTGTGATGAAAGGTGTAAGGAGATGAATGTTGTTATGAGTAAGGCTGGGGCTGGGGTTGTTTTGAGGTGTTTGCTTGGGTGGGAGGTTGATGTTGATGCTTTGCCTTGGGGGGAGGATTTTGATGGGGAGGAGTTTGGTGTTGGGGGTTCTGGGGAGTTGGCTGGTGGTTTGGAGACTGTTGTTAGGGCTGAAGAGGTGCCGTGGAAGGTCGGATGTCGTGCTGGAGAGAGTTAAAGGAACATTCGTACTTGTAGTCTAGCTCTCTCTACGCATATAGGCTCCAAATATAGCAATGATTTCTTCCGAAATGGCTCGGTCTTTTTTATTTTCTTTCCGGCTCTGAAGTTAAGATTGCTGTCTCGTTGTTGTGGCAGCTTGACTACGTGGAGTCAGAGGACGGTCTATAGTAAGAATTCCCTGGATGCCCTATCCACTCAGAGTTTTTTTTGAATACACACGATCCAGAAGTTATCGTGAATGGTACCACAATGTAAAGAACAAGAGAAATCACAATATAATGTGAATGAGATGTATCAGTCAATGGTCCTATAAGAAGTTGGGTATAATAGATGTACATCAAGTCATGACCGAGGAAGATGTCTTCGGGGTTGAGGGAATTGTTGATAATAATGGCATGGTAAGTAGGGGTATGTAGGGCGATAGGAAGGCCAGGGGTCGAATGATGTATTATAAAGCAAGGAGACGTTGTGGGAAGGGGAGAGTTCGTCAAAAGGTGGAATGAAAAGCAGAACCGGGGGTGAAGAAATAGATACGACTGCGTGGACGTCTGAGGGTATTCGGTGGTGCGGGCGTTATGACAGACTTAGGGGTAAGTCTCGCGTCAGTATTCTGGGAGTAAAATTTGTCGAAAGGGGGGGAAACCAAAAATCTCCAGAAAAGGTATGAGGCTGAACTTGGATGTCGCAAGAGAGCCTCTCGAGCCTGGCAGCTTCTCTCTCACTATTCAAGGGTGACCACTCTTCGTACTGGAAGGGCTCTCGTCTTCACGGCCATCCAAGTTCATCCCACGAAACATGTACTTCATGTCACGAACGTTCTCGCGGAGCTCATCCCTGGGCTGGCTCAAACGTTCGGCAGTCAAAGCACGAACCTCGCGGATAATATCTGTGTATCCTTCCTCATTTGGAAGCCACCAATGTTCGATTTCTGGTGTTTGCCAGATGGCAGCGAGAGCGGATCGGAATCGAGGTGTGATGAAGTATCTGTTCAAAGCAACCGCAGTTCATGGTTAGCATTGTTCTAGACATGAGATCTCAAAAGCAGTCATGGCTTACCCATTTTGCTCCATCAACGCCATCTTCCGCCGGGACCACATCTGATACTTGTGCTCTTTTGGAAGAAACATGCTGGCGATTCCAATACTGTTCTTGAACATGATACAGTATCCATTATCCTTGTGTGGCCAGCGATCCATCGTCTCAATCAAACGGCACTGCTCTTCGGCCAACTCCTGCAAATCTGGCAGTTGATTTTGACCCAAGACCAGCATGGCCTGGTATCGATACATTGTCTCGGTAGAGAGGATGTCAATCCAGGCATAATTGAAGTCCCACAAGGGGCCACGGTGCAGACCTCCAGGAGCGTACGGATCTGTAACGTCATCCTCGGTCAGGGGAAGCTGGTGGGGAAACTCCTGCACTTTATATTCATAATCGTCGAATGTCCGTAGAATCGCTTTTGCGTGCTCTATCATCAGGCCCAGTTGGTCGTTTTGCGCGGCGAACTGCTCCATCGAGACCATGCCGCGGGACAATTTTGCATATAGCGAGGCCATGTCAAGACCGAAGCGTCTGTTGATAGATGCCACGAGGGCAAGTTGTTTGGATGGGTCATCGGGGTAGATGGCGGCTTGGTCGGCGTCGTACTGCTCCTTTAGAAGGTACCAATCTCGATTCAAGACTGTTTCGGTGCCGGCCAGGATCCCAACCACTACATCGAAGCGGGCATACCATAAGAAGATGTTTGTATGTAGCTCATTCACGTTGGCGGACTCCGGTGTCAATAATTCTAGCATCAATGCATGTGCCGCCCGATGGTGGTCGATCAAGTTCATCCAGTCGCCGATGTACTCCTATAATAATCACACAGTCAGAGAAACATTGTCAGTGGCCACAGAATGAAAGAGTAAATACCTCGAAGGTCGTCAGGACAAGAACAGTGCACAGTGTCGCTTCACTGTGTTCTTCCCCCGAGCCCAATGACTTCCGAAGGAGAATCAAGGCTTTATTATAATATTTCAGGAATGTATACAACTTCCCCCCAGGGCTCCGCAAGGTATGATGGTAGGCCGAGAAGCCCACCAGAGCGTAGAGAAGAGGCTCATACTGCAACGCGAGCTCAATAAGGCTGTGCTGAATGAACCGGGAGCAACTCTGCCTTAAGAAGAAATGCGGCGTAGTCAGGAATTCCTGGTGGAAATTTAAATAAAATCGCAGATCGTCTGGAAGGCGCGCATTGCTGATCATTTCAGCTGTGGAATGTCCAATGCTACCCGAGCGCGCGCTCATCGATTCAAAGTGCGACGACTCAGCCGACGGCGAACTACTCTGTTCTTTGATGAACGAACCAGCATCCGTGTGCTTGATACTGCGCTTCCGGAGAGATTGCGAGCTTTGGCTCTTATGTAAGTCCGGCCTTGTGGTTGCGGGAGGTGACGGTCGCGATTCGGATATGGCACTGTCGGGTTCCTCTTCGTCGATGATGGGATCTAGGGGGCTTATAGCCTCGATCTCGTACTTTCCAGACGAGTCGCTCCCTTGCGATGGTGGACGACCTGCGCGCGACTTGGCTGTAGTCCGCACGCTACCCTTGGATGACGATGTTGACGAGGGATAGACACACTCGCGCGACCCTTTCCTACACCTTTCACAGAGCGGACGAGTCTCGTCGCATTTGATCCGGCGTGTGCGACAGGTGAAGCAGCCGCTTCGAGTGCGCTTGTGTTTCTTCTGGTCGAGTGGGTTGAGCAGGGATGCTTCCTTGGATGTGTACGAGGGGGCCACAGCCATCGCCGGGGCGGAAGGATCGTGCCAGAATGCCACGCTCTCAGGATATGAGGTCGGGCCAAATAAGGAATACGCCGAGGCTTCGTCCTGCTGCATTGAATCGAGGAAACCCGACAGGGTCTGGGACTGATATGAGTGCGTCATGATATATAAAGCCCGAGGCCCAAACTCCCCTCAGAGATCAAAAGTTCAAGGGTACAAGTATCTTTCCATCATCACCCAATCACCCGAAATAGATGAAGGAAGCATGGAGAGATGAAGTGGTGGGGTGGAAGTCGGTCCCAAACTATTGGATCCCGGGACGTGCGGAGATTAAAAGGAACTCGCAGCTATAAATTCGCTATAAATCACTATAAATCGCTATAAAATCGCCCATTGACTCGTCAATCCTCCAATAATTACTTCTTGTGATCTCCATAAGCGTTCTACTTTGGTGTCGGCCCAGCCTCCGGTCAAAACCAGGAGCCCAAGCGTTGTAAGACGATCCTGATCTGCGACCGACTCCGTATCTAATACGAGTAATGTCTGCGAGTAAGGATTACTATGGGCTGATCCAGGAAAGCTCTTTTCCGGCTAAACTCCATGACTTGCGCTTGGGTCCGGCGGAGTCAAGCGGAGTCTGGAGAGAGTCCTGACTCGTCCGTAGGGTGGCATACCTCGTAGGGAAGTACGGACCGTAAAGAATTAATTATTATTCCAAGGTAGCTCTGGAATGCCGAAGTACACCAACGGACCCAGCAAAGGTCCAAAGTGACACTATATCCCCCCTATTCGCCAGTGTTTGCCTATATGCCCCTTGAAGATCAACTATTTTTGTTATATTTAGTCCGGAACTACAAAGCAACGCTGGAGATCTCCATGGGTCAACCTCGGGACTCGGTGATTAGAAAAGAAAAGAAAAAAAAAAAAAAAGAAAGAGACAGAAAAAGGGGGTACACGGACGATCCCCAAGCCACAGGGAGGTGGACATCCAAGCAATATCCGGGATTAGGGCTTGGCCAGCTCCATGCAGAACGCGATTCTGGAGAGGATCCTGATCATAGCGTCTGTCAATGGACCTCTCCCGGCCTCCCCGGGCGCTTCCTGGATATTAGATCAATTGGAACACACTGTAGTTTACTATTAAACCTCGGATCCATTCCGTATTCAGGTCTCTTGTTTCCCTCTTTTTCTTTGTGTGCTTTTGGATCTACAAAGTCTCAATAGCAATAATGGAGATGTCAGAATTTTCTCTGAATCTTGGCTTTTTCTCCCTTACTTGTCGACTGGGCCCAGAATTGAATGGGCCATAATAAATTGCTAAGCCCTGACTGATACGAGTCCGGTACGGAGCACGGAGAGCATGAATAATAGCGTTTGAACGGACTTTATACTCGGCAATTCTGAAACCTCGCAGGGCGCCATCACAGATAAAAAAAATGCCGAAAACGTTCTTTTGACGGAGATCGGTCCTAAGTGGAGGGAGCTAAGGTGGATTGTGGGAACTTGGCCCTCATGCTGGGATGGAGAAACGATAGTCTGCACTATGATTCATGGTCTGCCTAGGGTGGAGTGGATTTTTTCTAATTATTTTCCCTGACCTCCAAACTATCGGTGTGCTGGTCTCGAGAAATACCGCAGAAGGGGCAATATTTGGAACCTCCTTTTGATTCGCGGGGAGTAACATTCGTCCGGGCTTCCAACCGGTGTTGTGCCTGATCGACGATGGTTTGACAGAGGAGGGTGGACCCGATACAGTAGATCGAAAAGAGATGCACTAAAATCCCACAAGCCTTGGATCGACTCCATTATCGGCACAAGTATCTCAATGCAGTTGGAAGCTCCGTCGTTCAGCGCATGATCACTAACTCGTCCTGCAATTCTAGTCCAAGGCAAGAAATAAGGGGGCCAGAAGAGGAGCGGAAATTGCAACCGCCGTACTCCATCTCGGCACGAGGTTCAAGGTTCCAAAGCTCGGAACACATGTAAATCTGCACATCTATATTGTCTGGGCCGTGCACATTCTCCATCTGGGCTAAGCAGACGCTAGCTTCTTGACAGACTGTGGGCCCGAGTGTGGCTTTACCTGAGCATGGTCCTTCTGAGGCTCCCGAGGAGATTGTTTTCCTTTCCGCTACTGTATATCTCCTGAGAGCGGTTGGTGTCCCCACTGATCCAGAGGCTGCTATACCTAATTCAGTAGACCTGGAGGGTAACAAAGTTCCAGGAGGGGCCCCTGTCTACCAATTCATTCGAGATCAGCAGGCAGCAATTGTGGTTCTGCGGGTTGGAGATCATTAAAGACTCTGACTTGCGAGGCGTGTGCATTGAAGGGAGTTTGAATACAAGGATCGACTCCCATTCAGCCTTGTTGGCTCGTCATATGAAATTTAATTCAGAGCAATTGAAGTGTGGTCTGGTACATAAAACCTGTATCTCGGCCCGTGATCCCACGAGCCCTCAATTGGTCAATGGCACGGGCTAAAGTACCGGCATTGAGACTGATTCATCCAATTCCAAGAATAGAAGTCTCATATCAGTACCGGGCTACTATTGATACAGTAATAGTTCTATTTAGTCAAGACGACCCCTTCCTAGTTAGTTCCAAGTACAGCTATAGCGGTCTATATGTCCTATGTGGACTCCCAAAGTCATATAAAACAGCAATAAACACCGGTGGGCGTTGTATGAGTTTGTATGAGTGGGCTATACACAGTTTTCAAAAGACAGGAACCCACAAAGATGAATCAAAACCCACGCACGCCAGCAGATCCAACCAGAAGGGGATATGACATCAGCCGATCCCATTGACGGACCATTTAATTGAGTTAACGCCAGTGAGACCGGGGGCCAAAATAGACCCCCGTCCCAGCATACTAATGCCCAGAACAGGTATGGCGGGCATGAGCGACCCAGGTCTTGGGAATTGGGTTTGATCTGTCACCCCGTTGGCGCCACGATCATAGGCCCAACGGCGAGAGCCAGGGTTGCAGTGCTTCTGCTTGCCCATCTTTGCTCCTCGGTGTGTTGCACTGCATATGCTGGTACAATAACCCCCCTTTTTCTGTTCTCTCTTTTTCCTTTTCGGGTTCCAGCTTCTAGATCGTATATCTTTTACTGGATATCTTACTGGTGCCGCTAATGCGCTTGCAGGCCTTACCTTGCATTAGGGGCGCTACTTGGACAGGTAAAATGGTGTCGCGTGGCTCCGAATGATTGCCCGGCATACAGTGGGACACGCAGTCAGACTGGTTCCCGGGGCTACTGCTCTATACTGGAACTATCCAAAGAGAGGTTAGTACGGAGTACCCAGAGAGACATTAGTAGCTCCATCTACCCTGGCATGTGAACATGTGAGAAGTGACCGGTGAGTTGGTTGCAATTTCACATCCCTGTAGATTATCCAGCGATCCTAATGAGCTTTACATGGTGACCCATTTGGCGTCTGATCTACTGGTCCTCTGTCTCATTTCCGCTCTAATTACCCTGAGACCATGCAATTTACTGTTCTGGACCCTCCGGCTGTCTCGGCACGAACAGCGATGTGCACTCTTGGCCGTCCCTCGGCTGTTTGTGGCGATACTGTCTTGCTGGCTTTGCCTCAATGTGGCCCGCGTTCCAAGCTTAGAGTGGACTGCAGGCCTATGTGACGTATTTCCAATGGCCTCTTTTTGTTTTTCTGCAATACATGAGATATATTTAGTTGTAAATCGTCAACAGCCAGACGGTGAGATCATATTCTGGATTCGTAGCCCCCGACCAGCAAGTTGATCGCGGGTTGGCGGAATGCAGATCGAGAAGCGGTATCCCTTCGTCCGACATTGTAGTGTCATAGGCACAGGGGTATTCAAGCGCTAGATCTGTTTATTTCTGGGCCAATTCCTTGAGCACCAAATCCACTCCTTCGATGACAACCCCCCACTCGGTCTCATGGACTCGAGTCTTGAAGGTCTCGAAGTCCTCATCCTGACCCTTACGGAAAGGAATCTCCCGCACGAGGATTGGCTGACCCATATCCACCTCAGAGATGACATCGTGGATCATAACACCAGTCTTGTCAATCTTGCCCTCCAACCACGCAGCATGAGCGCGGTCAATCGCATTCTGAATCAAAGAGAGAAGAAATTAGCAGTCCGTTCTAACTAACAAGACACAGCCTTCAGAAAAGCAGAAACTCTTTACTTACAACACCATTGAAAGCCCCAGGCAGCGCAGGGTGCAAGTTAATAATCCGAATCTTAGCAGCCTCCAACGGCTCCAAGAACTGCGGTGATAGAATATGCATGAAGCCGAGACAAACCACAAGCTCAGGCGAGTCAGCAAGGATCAGCCTCGCCAGCTCAGCATCATATTCCTCACGCGCAGCCTGCACGCCCTCCGTCGTCGCGGGGTGCTGCTTCTTGTACTTGACAAGGTTGTGGTATTGCGTAGGGATGTTTGCTTTACGCGCGCGCTCGAGACCGAATGCGTCCTTGCGGTTTGAGATTACGCGGACGATTGTTGCGTTGAGTTGGCCGGCGGCCACTTTGTCGATCACTGCTTGCAGATTCGACCCGTTGCCGGATATGAGGACTGTGACGCGGATTGGGGAGGACATTGTGGGCGACTTTGTTGAGTTGTAGCTTTAGACCGGCTGATTGTCGGGTTTGCGGTTGATTTTGTGGAAGTCGGAGGTCCCGCGGTTGCTAGGACGGAACGGAGGTTTATCAATTGCAACTTGTTTTTGCGGCCGCGTTAGGGTCAATTGAATTCTGCGGCGAATAATGAGACCGCAAATGTTACCTGCGGATCCCAGATAATACAAGAAGTTAGACAGGGTCATTGGCGGGGAGCTGTTGGACTGAAGTTTTTGGGATGGCTGAGTCAGCCGCGGGGCAGCCCGCGGAGCAGCGGAGCGGGAACTGTAGATGTAGATGTGAGGGCTACGGAGAAGAAGAAGAATTGAAGATAGAAAATTGATTTCATACTCTATGTTGATCAAACATGGAAGATTTTAGCGCTTGGAACATATCCAAATTTCGACCAGAGCCAATGCGTCATGGACATGGCGAGCCATGCCAGAAATACACTGGAAGCGGTCCAAGAGAGTAAGACCAGAAATGATAAGACCAGCGCTGAAAGGCTCGAAGTTGAAAGTTAAAGGCATCGCCTTCGAGGCCCGAAAGAAATATTCCAATATGACAAGCACAAGAAAAGCACCCAAGAATAAAGCGCGAAAGAAATGCAAAGGGGATATCCATGAGAAAACAAAATCATTAATCTAAACAGACGCTTCATGCTAAAGCTGAAAAGAGAGAAGAGGTGGAGATTCAAGTTGAGAGGTTGTTCACATAGCAGAGGTTGCCATGCTTGGGGTTGAAGGAGGATTAGACGGATGTGCCATCTGCAGCGGGAGCAGGAGCAGGAGCAGGAGCAGGAGCGGACCCTGGCGCTGAGTTTGCATTGCTGGTGGTTTCATTTACACCTTGACCTCGGCAAAGGGGACAAGAGTTACGCCCAGTAGTTAACCACTGAAATAGGCAATTAGTATAACGGTCACGACCAAAATCAACGGGGGCAGAGCAACAAACCTGATCTATGCAGTCCTTGTGGAAAACATGCTTGCATTTATTCAGTTCTCGGACCTCTTCCGCCACTTCGTAGTCACTCAGGCAGATCAAGCAACGCTCCCCATCTTGGATTTGAATGGCGCCAGCGCCATCCAGGGCTTCTGCAACCAAGGAGCCACCATACTCAACGAGACGAAATAGTCCGCCTGCAGAGTTGACATCGGACTGAGAGGCGACAGGGGGTTTAGCTGGACCCAATAGTGATGAGAGCAGGATCATATCCTCATAGGTTGGGTTCTGTTCGAAGTTATTAGTAAATAAACTCTCAAGAAGTAAAGGTGGGAGAAATCTTACATCGGTGAAAAGGCTTGGAGTAGTCAAAGCCGGATGATTCTCGGAGAGATTGGTTCCAACAACATAGATCAACCAACTACGACCTCCGCTTGGTGGGGGCTGATCGGGCTCAACCATGCCGTTTCGTCGGACAGCACCAGAGCCCAGTGCCCGATGACGAGCGAATTCGGAATCACTACGGCGTCGCTGGTGAGCATAATTGAATGTCGAAGGCTCCTCCGTGGACCCCGGCCTCGGCCGCATTGCCTGGCCCTCGTTTAGTTGAGGCAGAATATCTGGAGCAATTGCCGAGGCAGAAGACGGTCTGCGACTTGGAGTAGAAGTGCCCGAGGACACAGCAGACAAACCCTGATCAGCTGGAGTGGATGGCGGAGGGTGGGGCCCTGGAGGACTGTCGGAGAAGGCAGAAGGGGGGAAGGATGGGAACGCAGCACGGGGCCCGGCATCAGATAATCTTCTGGAAGTACTGTGCCCTGCTGGACGAGACGAGGCCGGTGCTCCAGTGGGGGAATGGAGTCCTGCATGGCCGGGATGACGAGGAATAGGCAATCTGAAACGTGGCTCTCCCCGTTGCGTCGCATCACCCGTGGCATCCTGCGGTCGAGGAATAACATTGGGTGGCAAGAATGGCAGACCAAGAAGAGCATCCAAACCGGCTCCACCAGCACCTGGCGGCGGAGGGCCATGTTGCTCAGTGCCTGCATTCCCTGCCGGGACCGATCTAACACCAACCACGACCAGGGTCACTGTTCGTCCTTCGCCTTCAGCAGGCTCGTCAACGTCCATTCCCTCGGGGATCTGGGTACCGCGATCGCTACGGCCGTTTGCGTTCTGTTCTGGAGCACCAGGGCCTGCCGGCGAATCTGAATTGGCAAATCGGAAAACACGCAGGAAATTGACAGGGGGTGAGGGTTCTTCGTTCGTAGAACCACTCGGTCCTTCTCCTTCTGCGGGTGGCTGGGCTTGGGCAGAGGTCGCGTGCTGTAAACTTTGGATAAAGGTCTCCAAAGAGCCATCTATGCCATCATTTCCTAGGGCCTGGATGTTGGGCAAGGCAGGGCCAGCAGTACCGGAGAGCTGAGCGGCAATTGCCGCTGCAGCGAGCTGGAGAACTCTTGACAGAGGAGTTTGCTCCTCTCGTTGCAGTGCTCTAGATGATCTCGCTCGTAGAAGACCAGGCAATCGGCGCATCAAAGCAGGATTCGTGTGTTCAGGAGGCGGGCCGGCTAACGAACCCCCTGCCTGAATGGCTGGTTCCACTGAATCAAGTTCATGGGGTGGTTCACCGAAGTCCATCCGGGTGTCCATCGCTCTTCCATCCAACGATGGATCCGACATACGATGTGCCGGGTTTCCCTGGCCCGGCAAATTTGAGTGTGGTTGACCAAACATGTGAGAGATGGGGGAGGAAATCGAATTTCGCACGCGGCTCAATCGAACACTGCGACGCCAGGAGGCTCTTGTAGGCTCTGGAACTTGATCGGCGGAATCGAGATATGGCGGATTTCCAGAGGGATCTGGGGGTCCAGAGGATCCCGAGCGAGGGGGAATGAAATAAGGCCCTCGGGTAGATCGACGTCGAGTAATCCCTCTTGAGCTGAGTGATGTGAAAGGACTGAAGCGACCACTTGTATAGGTCGTCTCTGACCTTGGAATGGGTCTAGACACTAGCCCATGTCGGTGTGCATGACCCTCAGCCGGGGTCTCTTCTTGGCTGTTGAGAAGCCCACGAATGACTGAATTGGGAAGCAGTCTAGAACCCAGTCTTGACATCGTCGATTGCCTCCGAGCTGCCATTCGAGCAAAGGCTGCAGTGCGTATTTCGCGCGACGACAGTTCAATCTCTGGGTCACTCTCCTCTTCGATACTGCGCATGGGTTGCGAAAATCCACCGGAGAACCGCGTAGGTTCTTGCCATGTTTCCTGTGCCTCACTTGTCATATCGAGTGTATCTTGATCGCCCCTATTCGTGTCCATCTCGGCACGTTGCGAGGAGGCACCCTCCGGGTTGTGTTCAGCCGCCTGCCTATGGTTCATTTCTTCATCCCTCGTGTTCGGGCCACGTTGTATCGAGAAAGGCGAATGAGGTTCCGGGTATCCGATATCAGGTGGTTCACGTTGTGTAGAAGAGGACTGTCCCATAGTAGAATGGTTGTGAGAGCTGGAGATTGAGGCAGAGGGGATGTCAACAGCCGTTCACTGCCATCAGAAGACCATGTAGCTAATAGTGGCGGTCGTAAAGATGTCAAAGTGGGGTTTGAGATGATGAAAGTAGCAACGCAACAGTTTCGGCGATATCAACGGTATATCTGACGTCTTGTCGGGGTCAGGTGCCGAGGCGGATGGTATGCGGGATGGATTGAGCGACTCTGTATGTGCAGGACGGTTGGGACAAAGGGGACGCCGACGGGCAGTTGACACGGGTCGATTCGCCTGCAGCTAGTAGAATGCGTGAGACAATTTCACTTCCTGATACGAGTCGCTGCGACCTGAAACTGTATGATAAGCCCAGGCACCACCACCGAGAGATATAACCGCCGAGCGTATCTCGGGGGCTACGAGGGGGTAAGAGAGCAAAAGCAATAAGGTAGGGAAGGGGGGCAATAGAAGATAAAAAGGAGAGAAAGAAGAGGAGTTGAATGGCTTGATAGACGATAAGTGAGTGTGTTTGCCTATTTTGTTCTCGGGACCCTTAGTCACCACTTCCTTCTCTTCCGTCATGTTCCACTGACAAATGCGACAACCACTCTACAGAATTTAAGCCTGATTTGCGCATGGTCGATGGCATCTGCGCCTTCGGCTTCGGTTTTCTCTCTGCCACTACCGCCGTGGCTCCAGCCATCCGGCACACGCGTCTCTCAATATGATCGCCAGAAACGCAGTGCGAAGTGGAGCGAAGATGACCTGCATGGAGAAGAGACTGATTTCGCCTCGGCTACGGAATCCGAGCCTGCGGGGCCGCCCTTGGTATTGACGCCAAATGAATCCCATCAGTATCGAATTGCCGGATTCCCGTTCCACGCTGAGTTACCAGGAGGAAATTTCCCTCATCAACCAGCCAAGGATGAACCTGTCACAAAGGTGAAAGCCCCAGGTCATCTCAGAGCCTTGGCGGATTTATCACCTCCAATCTATCCTCCTCAGTCAGTTCAGGAAGGCAATATTCGCTTTCAGCATTTAGGTGTATTAACAACAATCTTACACCGATGTATGCTCCAAGGAGACTATGCCCGAGCTGGAAGGGCTTGGGGCCTGATTCTGCGCGAAGAATACAGAGGATTTCGAATGGACGTCCGCAACGAAGCGAGGTGGGGGATAGGCGCTGAAATCTTGCTGCGACGAGATCAACAGGAAGCGCCGCCTAGTGCTGGTGCCAGCATGGCCCCTGATGCTACGGTTGCCACATCCTTGACATCTACAACCAAAGGCTTTGCGGAGGCGAAAGAATATTATGAACGACTCATCCTTAATCATCCATACATGAAATCATCACCACATTCCATATCTTCTTTACACTTTTACCCTGCAATGTTCGGGCTCTGGGTGTACGTCAGCCAGGAAGAAAGCAATACCGCAAGAAAAGATATTGCCCTTCGTCAAGAAGACGAATCTGATGGGTTTTCGGACGACGAAGATCCAGAGACTGAACTTGAGCATGGTCAGATGCCCAGGAACAAAACTGCCACTGCTATTTCAAAAGTGAGGTTGCGAGAATTGGAGCAGGCGCAGCAAATTGCTGCACGGATGGACCAGCTTCTTATTTCTCCCCCCTTCTCTGACTCCCCCGAACTGCTAGAGCTCAGGGGAATGGTATCACTTTGGATCGGTGACTTGTTTTTATCTGCACTAGTGACCCCAGTTGATGAAGAGGATAAAGATCCCGATCGGATGCTTATGGACGAAGCCCCAGGTTCTCTCGAAGCGAGACGCGCACAGAGGCTTGCAACCGAGAAAAAGGAAGCAGAAGTCCAGAAATCGATTGAATTTTTTGGAAAGGCAAAGAAGAGAGGAAGAAGCGTTGCTTACAATTTGGAAAGTCTTCACATCGACGATGGCTTTTCTGTTTAAGTAAATTTATATGTTGAGATGGACGTTGTAACGTTACTCGGAGTTTTGTGTTGCACCAATATACCCCCAAGATACGGACTGTTTTCAATACGAATGATACCACATTTTATACCTTGAAAGTAAATATCTGGATCAATTTGATACCAAGTAAATGCCTTTTACACCAGACGAGGCTGAACCTGAATTGAGTGGCACGTGACCTCGCGGTAATGTCGCGTTTGCCCATGTGCTCAAAGAAGACACAGTCTCCCTGTCACGTTTCAACGTCGGTTGGAAAAGGCCTCTCTTGTTCAGTTTCCCTACAACTTTCAATAGTCCTCCGACTAAACATGGGGGTGGGCGACTATGTCCACTCCAGAGAAGCTGGGCAGCCTCGAGCTCCCGACAAAGTCGCGGCCCAGTCGCGCCAGCAACGTGCAGAACAGGTCAGAATCGATGGGCCTCCCACTCAATTAGTCCATCCAAGCCACCCCGTTACCAATGGCAAGGGCATTCCGCTGGAATTCCCTGGAGCATCTCAGTTTCCAAACCAGCCCCGCACTATTCCCGCGCATACGGTGCAGCGTGATGTCTTTGACACTGATGTCGAGGCGATTGATGATTCAACTGTCGCCGGAACGAGTGTCTGCGGATTTGACGATAACAAATCCCAGGCAGCGTCAAGTACCAATGCTGCTTACACCAACCCCGATCCACAGCCTACGTACCAATCCCGGCCTGTTCGACATACCTACGGGTCTCAGTGGTATGATGGCCTGGGTGACCAAGCCATGAAAACGATGGGCTTTGACTCCGATGATCTCGTGGGCTTTGATAGCCCAATGACGTCTGATGGTGGAGATGACGAGAAGACCGATGAAGTAGCCACCGGCTGGCAAGCGTCGCACAAGCCGCGTACCACAGAGCAGCCGTTGAGCAAGCGCTTGGAGAATTTCTGGTCTCAAAGCAAAAAGAGAACTTCTTCACGCCAGCCTGCCAATGTGGATTCTATCCCCGAGCCGCAGCCGCAGCCTCAGTTCAAACCTCAGGCCAAGCCACGAAAGTTGGGCCAAATGCTGCCTCCTACTGGGGCTAGGAAGGTTGTTCTCCCACCCAACGGATCTGCCACGCCCAGAACCCGTTTCAGTCCACCAAAACCTTCCCTGCTTGAGCAACTCGACCAAAAACTAGATAGATCACCCACTCGCCATAGCTCTCAACCTCCGCCAGAACTTGGCCGGACACTCAGCATAACGGGCTTCCAAACCGACAGCGACATCGACGGTAGTGGCAGTGATGATGACATGGACCACACCATTCGCGCCAATGGAAAGCGAGAAAGTGACCATTCACGCAACGTCTTTGACATGACCAGTCTGACCGACCTGGACGCCGACGAAACCATGCAGGACCCCTTCTATACTAACGAATCTACCACCCACGAGTCTACACACGAGCCTACACACGAGCCAACACGTGCTTCCACACGCCCCCGTCGTGACACAGTCATCCATTCCAAAAAGCGAGAACTCGAAGCAGATTACCCTCCAGACCTGCTGTACCAGAAATCCTTCTCCGAGCTACAGGCCGAGCCCTTTGAAAAAGCCCCAACTCCCCCTCCACCAGTTCAATCACCTCCTTTGCCTCCAGAACCGGCTTATGTCCCCGACACCCAATCCCCCCAAAACGCCGTCTCCCACTTGCTGGGACTTACCCAACAAGAACGCCAGACCTATCTGTCTCACATGTCCATGGATGAATGGGAAGACTGCGGTGACCAGATGATAGACCGGTTTACTCATCTGCTTTCTGAAATGAGAAACCTCCGCCGTGCCCGTCGCCGCACAGCCGCAGTATTCGAAGCAGAAGTCAAACGCCGTCATGACCAAGTCGAGACTCAGAACTTGGAGTTGACGAACAAGTTGACTGAGATGAGAAGTGGTGGTGCAGAGGTCTTGCGTGGACGCAGCCAATGAGTAACGATCTTCGGTTCTCTTTTTCATATGCTTATGGCGTCTGTGAGATGAGTGTGTTCTATTCCCAAATTACCCATCACGAGACTTGACCTGAATCTCTATTCATGTTTAATACCCCCTTTATGCCGTTCGAATTTCCATTTCATTTTATTTGATGGGATCCTACGTGGGAGAATATCAAGTTTGTAATCATATGTTATTGGAAAAGGTTAATCTCTGCTAAAATAATGTATGATATCGAAAATGGATAGCTTACTCGCCCGGGCCATGCAATCTAAACCTTTATTCGCCCAGATGACATGGAATATCAGATACCTATACAACGCCGTTACTAATCCACGATGCAAGAATGTTTCAGACAAGGGCTTTGGCCCGCTAAATCCGTATGAAAAGCCCAATGAAAGTTGAGCAAAGTTGTAATTAAGTCGCAAGATCTTATCGAGACTCGGCTGGTTTGTATACTGCAGCCGCCAGTCTTTTATAGTCTTCCAGCAAAACAGCCACATCTCCAACTCGAAGATCGCGGGCATCCTGTGTCTCAAGGAAACGCTGGATCGGAGGATCCACTTTCAATGACGAAGTGGGGAGAGGGCTGCCTGCAGCGTTGGTGCTGTCAACTGAGGCAGGTGATAGTTTGAATCGGTCAAGTCCAGATGGAGAAACCGATCGGGCACCGGGAGTCTCTGGGGCGCGGCCAAAGTTCTTCATCATGCCTGGAATGTGGTTCAGAGGGTTGAGAGTGTTGCCAAAATTCCGCATAGATTCCAGCGGAGTGGGACTATTGGCAGAGTTCGGTGCTAATTCCTCTCGGAGTGATGTGGCGATGGACTTCTTACTACTTGCTTGCGTTCTGGTGCTGTCTGCACTCCGATCACGAGACGCAGGACCGCCACTGGAAAGGCCGGTGAGCCTTGAACTGCTGCGTGGGGGTGTGCTCTCATCCACGGAGACGGAATTGATGGCTGCGATCTCGTCCTGTGTCAAGTTTTGGTTCTCGGCAGAAACAGGCGGCATGGTGACTAGACGGCGAGCTTCGGCCAATGTTTTGGGTAACACTGGTCCTGTTCCCTGCGGTCCAGATTGCATTTCCTTCAGACGGCCAAACAGGAAATTGAAGCTGCTATCCAGAGTGGCGCCGATATTCTTCAAGCCTTGGTCTGCAGTGGTGCGAACAGCGTCATTCGCAGCTCCTAATACTTTGGATGGAGGTTGGAAAAGGTTGCTGAGCCGTCGTTGCTGCGGCGTCGGAGACGGCCGTGGCTTTGGTAATGTTGAAGGGACAGGTTCCTTAGTTTCTGGCTTTGACAGTTCCGGTGAGGCGGATACAGTCGTTATAGATGAGGTTGTAGTTTCTTTGGTTGGCCGAAAAGGATCGGCATGTTCTGACGATGGTGTCGTCGTGGCACTCGGGGTTTTGACAGGGCCATCCTGGAGCTCATCGGCACGCAGTGTAGAAAGATCAACGTTTTCGAGGAAACTAATTGCTGCCTCGAGGTTGGTCAAGCAGTAGGCGGTTTCTCCATCAATTTTACTTGAAGATCTAAACCTCTGGATGAAGACAAGGTTGCTGACAATGTTAATTCCTTCCGGTGGACAAGTGACGAGTGAATAGATCAACGTCGGCAGGATCTCATCTGCAGAAGAGGAAGATGGCAAAAGTTTAGTAAGAGCATCGACAACGGCCTTGTGGGCTGCGGCAAGCTGTTGAAGTTTTCCAAGAGGATATTTGTAATCGTTCATCTTTGCAAGATAATCCCGGGCCTGAGCAAGGAATTCATTTGCCTCGTCCTGCTTCTGCTCATCGATTGCCGCAAGGTCCAAGTCGATTCCGAGATCCTTCAAGTTAATGCCGACCAGCAGCAGAGCCGCAGTCTTAGATCGCAGCTTTTCGTCCCGAACATCATCCAATGTACTCTTGTGCCTCCAGAGTTTGTCGTAGACAATCTCGCATACCCTTCGCTCCGCAGCTTCTTCCAATGCGCCTCGTTTGTTTTCCAGAACCTTACGAGCCTTTCGCTTTTCAGCTACTTCCGACGCAGTCAACATTTGGCGACCTGAGGCTGCTGGTCTAACATCATCTTGAGAACGTTTGTTGCTCAGTTTTGACAGAGCACTTCCCCGTGGGGGGTTTGTGGGGACCTGAGGTGACAGGTCTCGGTTTATGCGAGATATGAGGGCGGAAATATGAGTGGCAATGTGAGACTCCGCACGGCTGTAAAAGACTTGGAAGAGCTCGGAAATCTTATCGATCGTAGGAGGCGAGTTGTGGACTTTGGCACTCAAGGAGTTGACGAACCTAGCAAAAAGCTTGTCAGATACAATGACGGAGAGCTTGATAACGCAACTGACCAAACTTACCGATCTGCCAAGCTGATTAATTCGATCGGAAGCTCCTCTGAAGGATCCTGCAAGCTCCGTGAAAGCACAAAGCCTTCATCTGCTTGCCTATCGCTGGCAGTGCCAGAGTCCGCTGAGCCCCGTCGATCGAACACGTCAGGACCTTTGTCTTGACCCTCGTTATTGGCCGATAGAGGGATGTTGGAGTCCTCTTGTTCCGCCAAAGCGGGAGGGGATTTCACTGAGGTCTCCATTCTGGTGGATTGTGAGAGTGAAGACCCAGAGCCATCATCAGAGGGGCCAGACATTTTGGGTAGGCACTAGTTGCGTGTCTCCGCTCTGTTCGGCTGATAGGCTTGTGTCGATCACCTGAGCTCCCCCGTTATACATTTACCTGTGTGGCTTCTGCCTGAGAGGGGAAGAATTGACTGATTCAAAACAACATTGAATATATCCAACTCGGGAAGTTCTAAACTAACGATATCACGGGGATCGCGTGACGGGGACTTAGTCACGTGTAGACCGTCTCCGCACTGCGTCACTTGATAAGGTAGCTGCTGATCGATAACCACGATAGTCCCTTGACTCCAAGTCTCCTTGATCATCCATCATGTCTCGAAAGCGTTCGTGGCTTGGACTGACTGTCCATAGCCTTCTATTATCAGCGGCAGTACTATCGACCGCTGCCTCCGCCTCGGCTTATCCACCCCTACAAGCTCCTATCATCCCGCCACAAGTACCTTTGGGGTCCGAAGGTACACCCGAGACGCATGAGTTTGTAAGTTACGCCACGCCAATATAACCCCTTCAGTTGGCTTGTACTCACGCCCTTAGTCCCTACGGCACATTTTCCAACGCGGTACCTCTGAACTACCCGACCTCCATGCAAGACTCGATGTTAAGGCAGACACTCGGCTTCGGGCTGTATCGGAGGATGGTGATGAAACCGACTATGTTGCGTCAGAGTCCCCTCTACTTGCTTCGTCAGTTCCCCTCACGATACAACGGTTGGCCGATCGAAGACTCCCGGTGATCGAGGGGCATTTGGCCGCTTCGCGGTCTTCTGGATCTGTGGCCGCCTTGTCTGCAGATGAGTGGGTCATGGACACCCTGCAAGGGCCAGATATTACAGACAAGACGACGGTCTTGACATTCGCTCAGATGACCGCAAATGACTATATCGAGGAACCTGGGACGGGACAGTGGCACTCTATACACGGCCAATTTAACTACTCGGGGAGCTTTGGTTGGCAGAAAGATGGACTCAGAGGGCACATCTATGCTGATAAAACCAATAGCACTGTCGTGATTTCGTTAAAGGGTACTTCGCCGGCTCTGTTTGATGGCGCGGGTACCACCACCAATGACAAAGTCAACGACAATCTATTTTTCAGCTGCTGCTGCGGCCAAGGAGGCTCCTACCTGTGGAGGCAAGTCTGCGACTGTCAGAGTGCTACCTACACAGCGAACTTGACTTGCATTGTTGAGTCTATGAATGATGAAAACCGTTACTACCGGGCTGGGATTGAGCTCTACTCAAACGTCACCGAGCTCTATCCGGATGCAAATATCTGGATGACGGGCCATTCATTGGGTGGTGCAATGACTAGTTTAGTCGGGTTGACTTTTGGGTTGCCCGTGGTCACTTTCGAAGCTATTCCTGAAGCCTTACCGGCAGCTCGACTTGGCCTCCCAAGCCCACCTGGCCATGACCCACGCTTCCCGCAAACACGAATGCACACCGGGGCCTATCATTTTGGGCATACAGCAGATCCGATATACATGGGAACTTGCAACGGGATCAACTCGATCTGCACATGGGGCGGCTATGCGCTGGAGTCGGTTTGCCACACCGGACAGGTATGCACATATGATACTGTCGCAGATAAGGGATGGCGTGTTGGACTGGGTACTCACAAGATCGAAAATGTGATATCTGATGTCATCTTAAAATACGACACTGTCCCGAAATGTGTGGCAGAGGAGGAATGCTTTGATTGTGATCTCTGGAAGTTCTTCCGAAGCAATGGCTCCGAGGTCACAACTACTACCACTACCTCAACAACCACATCATATACCAGAACATCGACGTGCGAGACCCCCGGGTGGTGGGGCTGTCTGGACGAAAGCACCACAACTACTACCACCACCACGACTTCTCCGACGAGTACAGCTACGACCACAACATGCAAAACTCCCGGTTGGTTTGGGTGCAACGATCCTACAACTACCACAACAGCAACTCCGGCGCCTACAGTCACGACAACTCTACCCACGGTAACTGCAACGACTACCACCTGCAAAACTCCTGGCTGGTTTGGCTGCAATGATCCTACCACCACCATGCCAACCCCTACTGAATTTACCTCGACCCCTACTTAGTCGATCTCTCATATTATGAGATTGATCTGAGCTACCGGAATCGCCATCACAACATCCACATTAAACAGCGACTCCTTCGTCCCCACTTTCTCGTTCACGTGCATTCTTTTACAGGATGTTCTGGGGATTCATTTTCTTCGACTAAGCTGCTGGGTTGAAAATCCGCAGGCGCTAGATATACCCTTCCACATTTCGTGATTTATTCGCTTGGCTTTTTACTATCAAATTTGCACTTCCCCATATACAAGGCAAGATATACGAGCGACATGTGAGCGAGCATTTGGTTCTTTCGTTCTGTTACTCTCGGTGCCCGGTGGGCACAATTCTACTGGCGTTGTCAATTTTGGTTCCTCCGTCTGTTTCACCACAGCCGAGGCGGTTCAAGGTTGTTTGCTAGAACATAACTTATTTGGAATTGGCCATGTTATGCTCCAGGAAACTATCTGGATGAACTGACTCGTCTGGGGAAAATTCGGCTACTACGGGACTATCACTGCTAGACTTATAAATACATTCATCGAAATTAAGACCACATATTAGATTGAAGTGACCAGTGGTACATACTGTCTTCACCTTTGGCTAATTAATCCCTTGGAATCAATTGATCTGAATGAGTCTTCCGCCCCTGGGCATTACTATTAACAATGACAAGGCCAATCTATGCGTGGATTTCGAGGCCATCTCCGATCGGCGGAATTCCGCTCGGAACTCGGAGATTTCCGCGAGGGTCGTCCCGTAACTAGCACTGCTGTAGGCACCTTGGCTGTAGGAGATTGTCCACACAAAAAACAATAGAGAGTTTCATTTATGAGAGGCATACAATCCAAAGTCTGAAACCTTACTCTAGTAAAACACTAACGCGGGGTTAAAGGAGAAATGTGGTATAAAGAGGAAGCTAGGCAAGTCATAACTTGCCAATCGGAAGAAATGTATAGCAAATCCTTAGCTCAAACAGTCCGCAGGGTAACTGGGAAATCATTTCTATACTTAAAAGGTAAAATATAGCGCCCTGCAGGACTCGATAGCGGTTCCTGCTGTCAACTTCCTATACTTTCAGTTCGGGACACGAACCGGAATGACATGCCTGAAACGGATATCATACGCGCGATTGAGCTCTTTTCCACTTCGGTCTAGCCTGAGTCCACTTATGACTCCATGTTATTTCCCCTGGTATTTCTTGAGATATGATTTTGCAAAATATTTTCGGGTAGCCGACCGATATACAGCACGGGTCTATAGCAAATCGGGTAGGATGCCGACTGTTAGAACCAACTCATCTGCATTGTAATGGTATTGGGGAGAACAATAGAGGTTTCAAGGTGCATCCGTTCTGCAGATCTAAGCAGCCAATCAGTAACGGAAGATTCCATATCAAAATAGCTGGTGGGTCCAATTGCTTCATCGGTTTTTTTTTCTCTCCACCCAGCGTTTGCCCAGGTTGCTGGATACGTATATAAAGCCCCGCAGTATCCTCGGGAATCCCTTTTCTTTTTTTTTTGTATCTTTTTTTATAGACTGCGAGACGATTTGCCAACATGGGTCAAGACAACGAGCCTAGTAAGTTGGTACCTTCAATCACCAGAAGCTCTAGCTAATTTTGTTATTCTCAAAGAAACCTACCGCTACAATGAGACTCCTGTCTACACAGCCTCCAATGGCTGTCCGGTATGCCTACCTACTGCTCCCCGAACGACTTGATCTAAGTATACATACATAGGTCATGGACCCCCAGGCTGCTCAGCGCATCGGGCCCAATGGTCCTCTGCTGTTGCAGGATTTCCACTTGATTGATCTCCTGGCACACTTTGACCGCGAGCGCATCCCTGAGCGTGTGGTCCACGCCAAGGGTGCTGGTGCCTACGGCGAGTTCGAGGTTACCGACGATATCAGCGACATCGTATGTACCGGCTATGATTTTAATGGTGGATATTGAACTAACACATTACACAGACCACAATTGACATGCTGAAGGGTGTCGGCAAGAAGACTAAGATGCTCACCCGTTTCTCAACTGTCGGTGGTGAGAAGGGATCCCCCGATAGTGCTCGTGACCCGCGCGGTTTCGCCATCAAGTTCTACACCGAGGAGGGCAACTGGGACTGGGTGTTCAACAACACCCCAGTTTTCTTCCTGCGCGATCCTGCCAAGTTCCCAATCTTCATCCACACCCAGAAGCGCAACCCCCAGACCAACCTCAAGGATGCCACCATGTTCTGGGACTACCTTTCCACCCACCACGAGGCTGTCCACCAGGTTATGCACCTGTTCAGTGACCGCGGCACCCCATACTCGTACCGCCACATGAACGGTTACTCCGGCCACACCTACAAGTGGATCAAGCCAGATGGCACATTCAACTACGTCCAGATTCACTGCAAGACCGACCAGGGCAACAAGACCTTCACCAACGACGAGGCCACGAAGCTCTCCGCCGAAAACCCCGACTGGCACACCCAGGACCTCTTCGACGCCATCCAACGCGGCGAGCATCCCTCCTGGACCTGCTACGTGCAAGTCCTAAGCCCCGAGCAAGCAGAGAAGTTCCGCTGGAACGTCTTTGACCTGACCAAGGTCTGGCCGCAGAACGAAGTGCCCCTTCGCCGCTTCGGCCGCTTCACCCTGAACAAGAACCCGCAAAACTACTTCGCGGAGATCGAACAGGCCGCCTTCTCCCCCTCGCACATGGTCCCGGGCGCCGAGCCCTCCGCCGATCCAGTCCTACAATCCCGCCTCTTCTCCTACCCCGACACCCACCGCCACCGCCTGGGTGGCAACTACGAGCAGATCCCTGTCAACTGCCCGCTCAAGGCCTTCAACCCTACCCACCGCGACGGCCCCATGAACGTCAACGGCAACTACGGCGCCAACCCTAACTACCCCTCCACCTTCCGTCCCATCGCCTACCAGCCCGTTAAGGCCAGTCAGGAGCACGAGAAGTGGACTGGCGCTGTTCTTGCTGAGCAGTACCCCGTTACCTCCGAGGACTACGTCCAGGCTAACGGCCTGTGGCAGGTTCTTGGCCGTACCCCCGGCCAGCAGGAGAATTTTGTCAGTAACATCTCTGGTCACCTGTGCGGTGCTCATGAGCGCGTGCGCAAGGCTACCTATGATATGTTCCGTCGTGTCAATGCCGATCTTGGTGCTCGCATTCAAGCTGCTACTGAGGCTAATGTGACTGGTGCCCCTCCTGCGCGTCTTTAGAGGCAGAGTTGTTTCTGCGGCTTCGTCAGACTCTAATTGTGTGTTCCTCATGTGCATATAGATAGCTTATACCAATATTATGACTTACGAAGTGTTCAACTATGTCCCTTTCTAAGGTTACATCCCCGGAAAAGTTTAATTTTTAGAGTTTTCGCAAACAGGGTAGCCCTTCCAAGATTGCTAACGTTGTTGAATTCTATACTTCATTTATAGTTCCATGGCATGTATGCATAGCAGCATACATATAAAAGAATAAGCTATCCAATTCTAAAGATCTGACTTCGAGGTTGGCTGCAAGGGGGAGATCGGGGAGAAATCCCGCCACGTGGGGTTGGGACCCCGTATAACATACTGTATGCAGATCACTGAATCACCTAGGCTTGGAGAGCGTGACCGCTAGCATCATCAACTTAGACGTAGTTACTTTCCAACTTATTCAGCTGCAAACAAAAGCAGCAATCCAATTGGAGTGTCGTGGAGTGTCATGAAGAGTTGACCCATCATTTGCCCCATCCGGCCTCGCCAAGCTTCTCATCCCGCGAAAATTTGCCCTGGATGCTTCCTAACTTTCCCCGCCAATTCGAGACTTTGGCCTCTTATCCTCATTCACTCTAGTCCCTTTTATCCCCAATTACTCTCGGGAAGGCGTCAAAAGGGAAGTTTTCGCGGCCCTGGGTGCTCGTGTGCGATGTTTCCTGTACTGTGGGTACTTTAATTTTTTCTCTCCCCTGACTTCCGAGCGATCCACCACCTGGGCAGACCTTGAAACCCTTTGCTTGACACTCGCCTTCACGTTTACTTCCACCATCGAGCGTTTATTCCTACATTTTTGTCTTCGGTGCTACCCTCCGCCAATTCACCATGGCCGACCCCAAGGCTCAGGACGCCATCACCCCGGTGGAAGCGCCTCCAGACTACAAATACCCTAACTCGTCACCACCCTCCAACGCGTCAATGGAGAAAGTCATTGAGAATGCAAAGGCCGCTACAAATAAAGAACAGTCCATGACTCTGATGCAGGGTATCAAATTGTACCCCAAGGCTGTCATGTGGAGCGTGCTCATCTCAACCTGCATTGCCATGGAGGGTTACGACATCAGTCTGGTCAACAACTTCTACGCCTTCCCACAATTCAATCGCAAGTATGGCCAGATGCTGGCCGATGGTACATATCAAGTTTCCGCATCGGTATGTCGATCAATTCTAGATTACAACTTTTGTGCGGGGGTGGATGTGCCCCCTTCGAAAAGAACGATGAAAACTGACAATTCCTTGGTTATGTAGTGGCAAGCAGGTCTGAGCAACGGTGCTTATTGCGGTGAAATCATCGGTCTGTTTATCAACGGTTGGGCTTCGGAACGTTTTGGTTATCGGTACACTATCATGGCCTGTCTCATTCTTGTGAGCGCTTGGACGGCGATTTTCTTCACGGCTCAGAATGTGCAGTCCCTGCTCGCAGCGGAGATCCTTTGTGGTGTTCCTTGGGGTGTCTTCCAGACTTTGACCATCACATACGCCTCGGAGGTTTGCCCCGTGGCTTTGCGAGGATATTTGACGACATATGTCAATTTCTGCTGGGGTCTTGGCCAGCTTATTGGTATTGGTGTCATCAAGGGCATGTTGAATCGGAACGACGAATGGGCCTACCGGATTCCTTATGGACTTCAATGGATGTGGCCGCTGCCGCTTTTCATTGGTATATGGCTTGCGCCAGAGTCTCCGTGGTGGTTGGTACGCAAAGGGCGGACCGAGGATGCGAAGCGTTCGCTTGAGCGATTGACCAGCAAAGGTTCCGATTCAGAATTTGATCCCGAAGAGACTGTTGCCATGATGGTGCATACTACCGCCCTCGAGGCCAAGATCACCAGCGGTGCTAGCTACCTCGACTGTTTCCGGGGTACCGACCTCCGCCGCACAGAAATCGTCTGCATGGTCTGGGCCATCCAAAATCTAAGCGGCAACTCCTTCTCCAACTACTCGACCTACTTCCTGGAACAAGCCGGACTGAGCTCCAGCAACTCCTACGCCTTTGCCATGGGTCAATACAGCATCAACATGGTCGGGGTCTTCGGCGCTTGGTTCCTCATGACCCTCGGCATCGGTCGCCGAACCCTGTGCCTCTATGGCCTCTGTGGCCTATGCACAATGCTCTTCATCATGGGCTTCCTCGGCCTCGTCCCAGAAGCCCACAAAGACCAAGCCTCCCTCGCAACAGGAGCCATGATGTTAGTCTGGGCGCTATTCTATCAACTCACCGTCGGAACTGTCTGCTACTCCCTTGTCGCCGAACTCTCCACCCGCCGCCTCCAAATCAAAACAGTCGTGCTCGGCCGCAACTTATACAACATCGTCGCCATCATCTGCGGCGTCCTAACCCCTTACATGCTCAATCCCAGCGCCTGGGACTGGGGCAACTACGCCGGTTTCTTCTGGGGTGGCATCTGCTTCCTCTGCATTATATACACGTACTTCCGCGTCCCCGAGCCGCGCGGCCGCTCCTTCGCTGAGCTGGATCTGCTCTTCGAGCGTGGTGTCAGTGCTCGCAAGTTCGCCACTACCCAGGTCGATGTCTTTGATGAGACTATCGAGGGTCGCGTCATCGATAATTATCGCGCGGAGAAAAATAATCGCTCTGATCCTAGTTCCTTGGAGAAAAATGGTCCCTCCATATGATGAGATGTGTCTTATGTGATACGAATAATTTGCTTGTCTCGGGCCACGAATTGATGCCTGGGCGTCTTTTGCATGTACATAGCCTATACCTTTATAGTAAAATAGCATTAATCTATATAATTGACATTTGTGATTGTCCAGAGCCATAAGCCGCAGCCTATCTGCTCATCCGTGCTCCCAGGGCCTGTGGCTACACCATCGTATGCCTCTTCGACCTGGTTTGGCCCCCAAAGATTCTGGCCCCGCTATGTCATTGTGGGCCGGATCAGCAGGGGGGCTGAAAAGCTCTCTGTCTGCACCGTCACTTTGGACATGATCATACATCCGGTAACTTTTAGAGAGACTCGGGTTTGAATATTCGCGTCTGTTCATTTTGGAACTTGCTGTGTTAATTCCCAAGTCTTTCCGCAAATGCCGACTTCCATATAGACCCAGCTCTACTAGATCCATTTGATATTCTGCCGCGATGTCTCTAGGGTCACTGCCAAGATGGCAATCTGCCCTGTTCGGGGCTATTCAGTTCGCCAACACTGCGTATTTTGAGACGAATATACCGATAGGTGTGGTCATCACCACGCTAGTAAGTTCCATTTTGTTCTTCCGAGTAAGTTTTCACGAAACCTGGCACAGTTATTCCACTGAAACTGATCCAATTCTATGTTATCAGTTCGAATACACAGATGGGAGCGTGATATCAGCGCTCGCGGTGCTAGAGACCCCAACCCTTATAAACACCGAACCCTACCAAAAGATCGAGTTTCCCGAAACTGGGAAACTTGAAAACGGCCCTGCAGGCCGAAACGATACCGTACCAAGAGAAGGACCGGAAGATACCAGACAGTTTCTCTGGAACCTGAGACAGAAGTTCATCCGAAATGCAGTGCCTTTTCTCGGTGGTAGTCTCCTTTCCCTCGCCGCTATCTACTTCCTATCCCTCTATGGCTTCATCGACATGGACATCAATGATATCACATACAACATGCCTGGTCCTGTGTTGTATTGGACCATAGCAGGCATAGCTCTAATTTTCTCTGCCTCACCTGACTCTAATGCAGTCACCAATGATCGAAGCCTTGCTCGTCGGCGATTACAGAGCCAGAAAGGATTTCTGTCTCTCTATCCTGGACTCGATGTTTTCTTGGTATATATGCTGCTGGCGTTTGTGGCCACCACCATGACGAGGCCCATTTTTGCAACAGAGGAGCCTCGAATTTTTCTCTTTATCCTATCCAGGTTGTTCTCCGGGCTTCTGCTAACAAATCTACATACGGCTTGGGTTCATACCGTCATTTCCAAGCCTAACAACAAGTACGTTTGGCAGAGAATCCCCGGCTGGCGAGAATGGATCGGAGTATTACCAGCAGCATCTCTGGACTTAACTCTACCAACTTGTGTCCACTATTTGACGAAAACTCTCATGCTATTCCTCCGTGAAATTTGCACTGCAGCTATGAATCACTGGTTTGATGAAGAGATACCTTCAGCATTGGAACGCCTCGGAGGAATGATCTTTCATATAACGCCATATGCTTCGGAGTTGTTCGTTTCTACTATGACACGAGCTATATACATACGGGTTGCGGCATCAATGCTACCAGGCAATGACGAACCCATTGTGACATTCGACCGCAGCTTTGGAGGCCGAGCGAGAAACGACGGAAGATATTGCCTTAGCATCTTTGATGCTGTTCGGACTATGCGATTTCTCAATTGGTATCGCTATGCGAAGATTGTTTGGGGGGCGTTTTGGTATGAGGAGATGTGGGCTTTGTTCTTTTGTATTGCTGTCGCTGTGGAGTTTTACTTTTGGGCACCTCACTCTGTGATAGATCTACTTGTTTTGCTCTTGCCAGATGCTTCTTAGGGATACGATTGAATTTGTGCCCGTTTGTTTGAGAGGGAACCTCTGTTGACAAGTGCAATAAGCGGGTCCATAGTCACCGATCTCTGCCCAGGTGATAATACCCCGGTGAGAACCCAGTTGTGAGAATAATAGAATAGTGTAGATAGCCGTGTCACAGGACCGCCCCCACCCTCGCGGGTAGGGGGTGTCCCACAGCCAAAATGCAATTAACAGCCATAATGCAAATTTTCAATTTCTTCAACTTCTAGCTCATTTTCTAGGCGTATAAGGTCTAGGATCCACAAAATAAAGCCTACCAATAGCCTTTTCAGCCAAGAATGTATCATCCTCCTTATTTTTAGCTGTTTCCTCTAATTCCTTAGCTGCTAAATCGGCCGCTATTTTCACTATGTCTTTCCGCTAAGCACGAAGCTTCGACTTATCTCTATAAGTTCCGTATTGTATAGAGATGATTTTCTAGCGTTTATTACGCGCCGTATATACTTCAATTAAGGATGACACGGTGAATGGGAGGCTAGAAACGGCCGCTTTTTGTTGGTGTATCTTCTTAAGTTACAGATCTGAGGCGCATCGTAGCAGAGAATGATAGCTATTTATTCTAATTCTTTCAATGACGTGGCTATGTCGCCAATTGAGACACTATGTCTGGGTATACCTAAAGGCTAGAAAGTGACGCAAATACCCATCAAGGTGGTGTTTTGTCTAAGGCACTAAAATTGGGAACTGCAAGTCATACGAACCCTTAGAATGGACTTTCAATAACTTTCAATTACAAGTTGATATATGGCTTGCTTTCGTAAACCCCTGGCACGTGACGGGACGTTTGAACTTTCTTGTTCCTCTCGCCCTTCTATCCCACACACCTACAGAATTGACTGACCTATCTTATTCCTCTGAGTATCACATACTAGGCATTATGTTTTCCGTGACCAGAAACCTTTCCAGAACTCAGGCAGTCACAAATCCGCTCCGAATCCTACACTTGTCCACTTTACAGAGTGCAATTCCTATTACTGGCGAAATTCAACGCCCTACGCTCAAGATTTGCCGAGAGTTTGCGCAGAAATATCATATCCGAAGGATAGCTTCATCGGATGTTTCAGAAAGTCTCACCCAACAGGCTTTGGCACGCGCTAGAATGCCTAGGGAACCGATAAAAAACCCGTCAAAACGCACACCTAATACACCATTCATGAGGAATTATGCTGATCGTATCGAAAAAGCCCTCAATAAGGCTGGTTTTAGGTCTTGGGGGTTTCCTATTTATCGATGCACATATCAGAGTGATTCTGACTGGGCAGAATTCTTACGCCGCTACCGGTGGTATATCGCTGAATCTCTGAAGGAACACAATGGTATAGATCTTCTTGATACTTTAGAGATCACTGTCTTTGAGAATCAAGAAGTATTCGAAGGTGTAAGCACAGCCACTATCCGGGAGCATTTCCAGCAATGGGCAACGACTGCCATTCAGGAAGAGCAAGGCGTCTCTCCCGATATGCTCCAGTATTCCAACTTCGCAGCCGCGCGTTATCGATTTTGTCTTTCCGTTGATGAAGAGTCGCTGCAAAGCGTTCTTGAAGCTCCTTTCGACTACTACAGTGACAAAGGTGCAATTGTGAATATGCTGAGTGGGTGGTGGAAAGAAGAGCCTGAAGAATACGACCCCGAAGACTACGACTCAGAAGATTTAGAAGATGGGAAATTGAAGGACTCGTTGATCGAGCGTTGGGATCCTATTGAAGGATGTACTCTGGAGAATGTTGGGTGGATGAAGGTCTCTTTCCGTGATGTCGGGGTGCGCGCATTCGCTAAGTTGGCCGAGCATAACGAGTGGGATAGTTTATACGTGCGTCCTTTTGAGATTTGCCATTACCTGTAGAGCTTCTATGTATGCTCCGCGAATCATAAGCATCTAATGCCTTAGCTAGCAGATCCTCTTCATCATGAGCCTTTTTTGGCATTTTTTAATGGGTAGAAATACGCGTAAAGTTGAAAAAGTAGGAAATTTGCATTATGGAGGTTAATTGCATTATGGCTGTGGGACACGGCTATGAGACATTTATTTCCCATGGCCGACGTACTTGATTTTGTTGGACGCATGGACCAGGCAAGTCTCCCCGTAGGTAGCGTGGGGACGCGATAAAGTTTATGCAACTATAACCGACGGGAAAGCGCAGCCGCATAAACGCAGAACATACCTTTCGCATAGTGATAAGTTGTAGTAGTTATAAACAGAGTAAGTGACATATTTCAAGCAAAATATCATTCATTTCTCATTCTCCCATTCCTACCACCGCAATACCTTCCATCAAATTCCCTCTGTGCTCTGTGCCCCACACAAATTATTTCGCTATGGATGTTTCCGGGTTTGCATTGATCACTGGAGCTGCATCGGGCATTGGCAGAGCCTGTTCACTGGCATTCGCCGCCGAGGGCGCTGCTGGCTTGGCCCTCTTCGACCTTGACCAGGGGTCTTTGTCAGCTGTGAAGGCAGAAATCGAGGAGCAACTATCCAAGCAAAATAAGTCGGACAAGTGCCGCATTGAAACATATGTCGTCAACGTAGCAGATGAAGACCAGGTCAACAAATCTATCACGGCCGCTGCCGATGCCTTTGGCCGCATCGACTATGTGGTCAACGCTGCAGGCATCGCGATGAAACACAAGGGTGGCGCGGCCTTTTCTGAGACCGCAGACTGGCAAAAGATCGTCGATGTCAATCTTACGGGATCATTCTTTGTTCTCAGAGCCGCGTGCAAGATTATTCTGGAACAAAAACCCATTCTTTCCGCCATTGACGGACGGCCGCTCCAGCGGGGCTCCATTGTCAATTTTGGTTCTATTCAGGCAGTTGTTGGACTGCCTATGTCGACAGCATACACAGCCACTAAGCACGGGATCCTGGGGCTGACGCGAACTGCGTCAGAGGATTATGCGAAGGACGGCGTGCGGATCAATGCTCTCTGCCCCGGATACACTGAAACACCTTTGACGACTAAGCCGGAGATCCTCGAGGTTATGAATGAGAAGGTTCAAAACATGGTGCCCATGCAGCGAATGGGTTCAGCACGGGAAATTGCGGACGGTGTGCTATATCTGGCTGGTGGCCGCGCTTCTTTCGTGACTGGAACTGCGCTCTTTGTGGATGGCGGATATACTCAGCGATAAATTATGAGCGTGATGTACTCGCTCGATGGCTTAGTGAGCAGGTCAGAGTGCTCGGAAGAGGCTCAGTGAGGCCCCGGTGCCCGGGAGTCAGCAGCATATGTAACTATCAGGTGATTCCCAGTGAGCGAACTCCAGCCATGCTCACCTGGGCATCTGTCTTCCGGATAGATGGCGCTCTCAGGTTCAACCGCTCTCGCTCAGTGACCAAAAGGTGGCGATGTCTGAGCACTAAAACGGAAAGGGAAAGCCAACCATCTCGCGCCGCCTGAATCCGGTGTATATGCAGCAAAATTAAGACAATACCATTTCCAAGGTTAGAAAAGGATTCTCCGAAACTCAAATAGACACTTCCCACGAGGACAGTCTAAATTTACATTGTAAGGAACTATATTCTCAGTATGAAAATTCCATTGCTTTCTCTCGCTGTCTGATGACCGTTGTAAACGGCGGACTTGTGAATTATCACCATGATGCAGAATGGCGGGCTAATTGAATTCGATACGCCGGAGGTACTACTTGAAACGGATAGTGCGTTCAGGGAGCTTGTGAGCTACAAATACCTGGAAATGGCTGCGGAATCGAAGAAAAATCTTTCGAAGGAATTCGGTGGAGAGGGTCATGTTGAGAGCATTTACGTCTAGGGCTGACAAGTTAGCCTTCTACACCACTGTTACCTTTGCCCCCGCGTTTTTTACGAAAGCACCTCTGTCTGCCGCAAGCCTGTTTCGCCAGTCAACAATCCATCTGGGGCATTTTTCCGCCGGCAACAATGGGCGGATCGCTTCGAGCAGCGAATGAATGAACGAAAAGAAGGGCCATTGGTCGAGAACGACATGCATTTCGAAGTTCCCGGACGATGGGATTCCTCTATGTATCCTGAAATATACGGAATTCCAGAATCTTTACTTTTCTCCCTCGCACACGTTACTCGCCTGGCCAATGAAAAGGACATATCGAACTCGAATAATTATGATCACTCCCTCGACATGAAGCAGTTTTTCGACAGGGCGAGCAGCCTGGAAAAGTACATCTGTGCATGGCGGCCTCCAGTTTATCCCCCACAAGATGAGCATGTCACAGAAGACAACACTCTTGGGCAGTCGCCGCATGACCTTCTTATCATTCACATGATAACCGCCTTTCACAAAGCTTTGTTGATATTCTTCTACCGAAGGATTTACGATGTAGATGCCTCTATCCTTCAAGAAAATGTCAGGCACATTCAATACTTGCTCTCACAGTGCGACAAGTTTGATGTGCCGGCCATACGCGTAGCCACCACGTTTGTATGGGTGGCATTTATTGCCTCTTGCGAGGCACTAGACTTGACTTTACAATATTGGTTTTCTGACTGGTTTGACACTTCCTCCCAAAAGGCCAATCTTCCGGTCTTCCAAGTTGTGAAGAGTGTCATACAAGAGGTGTGGAGGAGACGTAACAAGGGCGAATATGGAAGTTGGCCGGTAGTTCTTAGGGAAACGAAGCAGAACCTCTTTTATATATAGTGTATACATGTACATAATGTAATGGTATGTTTGAAAGAAAATTAATTGGAAATAAACCATCATAATTCTGTAACCAAGAAACTAGGATAAGCATAGACGACGTAGATGCCAAGCCCTAAACTGCGGGTGAAACCTTGACCAGGCTCCACTTACTTCGTTGGGAAGACGAGGGGATTCCGTTGATAGGCCCGGCAACACTTGCCCAACTTTCAGATAAGTGATAACCTCGCGAAAAATGGGTCTATATATTGGTTGTATTCTCCAGTGGGGATTGTCATGATACCAGCTCAACGGCAAGGCTACATAAAGATGCCACACTATATTTAAACCCTTCCTTTTATTCCCTATTTATATTTCCCACGCGAGCTTTTGAAATTGGCAAGATGGGGATCCCTACACCCACAACCGAGAAGCAATCGGAATTTGACCCCAACACGATGTTGGCAATGGATCAAGAGTCCTTGCCCATTGAGGGTCAGGTCCTAAATAGGACCCAAACCCAAACGCATCGAGGCATCAAGTCAAGACACGCTCAGATGATGGCCATCGGTGGTACCATTGGTACAAGTCTCTTCGTCGGCTCAGGAAAAGCCTTAGCCCTCGCAGGTCCAGGGCTTCTTTTGATCGCCTACATCTTGATCTGTTTCCTCGTCTACGGAGTGCTTACTGCAACCTGCGAGATGAATACTTTCCTACCAGTCACTGGTGCCTCGCCATCCTATTACGCAACTCGATTTGTGTCACCGAGCCTAGGCTTTGCCCTGGGATGGCTATATTGGTACTCGTTTGGAATCATCGTTGCCTACGAGATCACAGCCGCGGCAATTGTCGTCGACTATTGGCCCAACTCCATTCCCATTGCGGTCCTCATTACAATCATGCTAGTGCTTATCTTGGCCCTCAATTTTGCCCCCGTGAGTTACTACGGCGAGACCGAATTCTGGTTCGCATCCTTGAAGGTACTGATGATCGTCGGTCTGCTCATTCTCTCCTTTATTCTCTTTTGGGGTGGCGGTCCGAGCAAACAAAGACTTGGATTTCACTATTGGAAAGACCCTGGGGCAATGAAGCCCTACCTTGTTGAGGGGGACACAGGGCGCTTTTGTGCTTTCCTTTATGTGTTGTGCTATTCGGTCTTCTCTTTCAATTTCACGCCGGAACTGATCGTGATCGCGTCTGGCGAGATGAAGAGTCCCCGAAAGAACATTCCTCGAGCCGCAAAGATGTGCTTTTATCGTCTTCTGATCTTCTACATTGGAGCAATCTTGGCCATGGGTGTCATTTGTCCAAGCGATGCTTCAGGCCTCACGAAGGGTTCGGGTGTCGCAGCCTCACCATTTGTGATTGGCGTCAGAAATGCCGGTATCCACGGGCTTGATAGCGTCATCAATGCTGTGATCATCACATCAGCCCTATCAGCTGGAAACTCTTACCTTTTCATGTCCAGTCGGTCGCTTTATTCATTGGCTGTAGCGGGCGGAGCACCAAAGATTTTCACTCGTTGCAACCGCTACGGCCTTCCCTATTATGCGGTGATGGCAAGTTCTCTTTTCGCATTTCTCGCTTATATGAATTGCGCTAGAAGCCCAGCCATCGTTTTCAACTGGTTTATTAGCACCACAAACACTGCAGGATTCATCTCGTGGATTTGTTGCTGTGGCATGTTTCATCGTTTCCGCAAAGCATGCCGACTCGCTTCAATCACACGAGCGGATCTGCACTATTCTTCCAAGACTAGCCCATACCTTGTATGGGCTTCGACCATCATATTTCCGATTTTAATGCTGTGCAACGGGTTCTCTGTTTTCTTCCCGGGGCACTGGTCGGTAACGGACTTCCTGGTCGCATATATCGGGATAATTGTGTTCGTGGCGATTTATCTTATTCATCGCCTGGTTCACTGGAAAGATGCTTGGATATTCAAGGCGGAGGACATTGATTTGACATCAGGGATGGAGGAAATTGAGGCGCTTGAATTTGAGGAAGGAAATCAGGAGACCACAGAGGACAAACCTAAAGCATGGAAAATTATTCGTGTATTATGGGAGTAAATAGCACTGTGACTGTATCTTATTACTTGGAATTTATCAAATCAAGGGGAATTTTATATTTATTCTGAAGGACTCCTAGTTAGAAACTTTCCCATTGGTAGGATACTTCTTTAAAGAAGCAGCTCTTTGGGAGTATGGGAATGGTCCTGGAAATATGGTGCTTATTCTCGGGGGGTTGAGACAACTTTCGGTATAGGATGCGACGGATGAAGCCCGCAAAATGATTCGGAATGCACTGAAGGAATTCTAGAGAACTGAACCTGAGTTCCTCGGACTACTGGCTATGGAATTGTCGCTACCGGAGAAGATTACCCAGCGCCATCTTGCGACTACGGAGGACTATATGAGTAGTAGTTTTGAGCGGCATGTTCTCAGTGGCCGATATCATTGAGATTTTTGCCAGGCAACTCGCTGTGATTTGCAATCAGATATATTTCTCCCAAGAGTAGCGGACAACATGTAATGTGTTCCAGTGGAAGTTTATGTTCGAGTTGAAACAAAGTTAGCGTTAAACATCAGTTCTGGCCGAACGTTTAAACTGTTTGGAACGGAAACATTTGCGGCTAAGTCTCGATAAATAAATGCATAATGTAGTGAAGCATATTTGACTTGATTTACATGGCATAATAGACTGATGCATTCTGCGTAAATGCCCAAATTTCAAAACAAACTTGGCCCGGGACTACCGGGACATCCTCTCGGGATGTCCTCTCGGGTCGGATGTTAATGGATCCTCCTTCCGCTTACACATCAGCTAAATTGGAAACAGTTATAAGTATTGCAAGGCCCGGAATGAAAGTCGATTTTCTAACAATCCTCACGTCTTTCAGCTTTCTATTGAACTGACCTGCTATAGCAACCATGCCCCATAAAGCCATCTGGATCGACAGCTTTAACCAGCTCTCAATCCGGGAAATCAAAGAGAACTATGTTCCACTGGAGGCAGAGACACTCATCAAAGTGTCGTTCAGTGGTATCAACCCTGCCGATTTGAAACACGGAATACACATGGGGGTCAACGACAACGTGGCCGGTTATGACTTCTCTGGAACCGTTGTCAAAGCCGGTCCTGGCTCTAGATTCACAGCCGGGGATAAGGTCGCAGGTCTAACCCCTGCAATGAATCCTCGCCCCCATAAGAACGGAGCTCATCAGCAGTACCTCATCGCACCTGATCCGACAGTGTTCCCTGTGCCGGAGCATGTCTCCATGGAGCTTTCCGCGACCCTTGGAGTTGCAATGCGCACGGCAATCGATGCTCTCTTTTGTGTGTTGGGCCTTCCCGAGCCCGGTTCGAAGTCGGAAAACCCCGGTGCACTTCTGATCTGGGGAGGTGCCAGTGGGGTAGGGACAGCGGCGATACAGCTAGCCTCTGCGGCTGGAATCAGTCCTATTCTTGTCACTGCTTCACCACAAAACCATGAGACCTTGAAGAAGCTCGGGGCTACACACTGTTTCAATTATCGCGATGAGGACGTGGTAGATCAGATCAAGCTCTTAATGTCCAAATCTGGAAAACCTCTTGCCTACGCCTTTGATACCATTGGCAATGTTGGATATGCGCACATGTCCGATCTGTGCTTCTCAAGCTGCTCTGAAGATGCGAAGGTTGTGTCCACGATTCCTCATGGTAAAGCTCTCATTTGCTTTGCAACAACCGCCATCGACTTCTCTTTCGAAAGCCCTAATGGCAGAGTCACGTTCGCGGCTCGACTAGCCGATGCGGAGCGAACTTCCCGAATCTTGGAATGGGCTGTGACTTCACTGAAATCTTTTGCAATGCCAACTTTGAGGACGGTTTCTGGGTATGAGGCTGGCATTAAAGCTATTTTGGAGTCTGCTAAGGGAACTGCGAGCTTCGAGAAGGTTGTTGTGGCACATGATACTGTTGTTTAAACTCAGTCCACATGTGCACAAACAATTGAACATTCATCATATATATATACAGGGCACGTAATTGTACCTACTGCCGGATAATTGCCAAATAATCCCATTCTGATAATTCTATATTACATATATACTGCACAGCCGAATTGACTCACTGCTCAAATAGTCATCGGCTCTCATGTTGCCTTTGCCCAGGAATAGCAACAACGTTGAAGCTATAGCCATATACCGACCCTTGGTACCACTTCCCTTCGAGATATTCCCATGGAAGGTACTCCCATGTTTATTGTCCTTTGCTCCCCTTTTTACTCCTCGGCACACGGAAAAGCTTGTAGAAGATGATAGCTCCGATGGTGTTGACAACAATGTAAACCCATAGCAGACCGAAATCCCGCCACCTATTGGAGAAATGGATGTTGAGACCCTCCAAATAATCCTTAGTGTTCTCCATAGTGCAAAACCGACAAGCTTCATTGTTCTCTGCACCGGAATCAAGCAAGTATCCCGGGTTCGTGGACATATAGCCTCGCATGTACTCCCAACAGGTCATCCCAGCAGGGGCTGCGAAGGACAGTATCTCGTTGTCGGCACAACGCATAGGGGCCTCACCAACGGCTCCGGACAAAAAGGATGAAACCATATACGTCAAGGGATTGACCCGGTACATGAATATCCAGAAGCGCGGCAGAGAGTCCGGGCCGGCGAGAATACCACAGAAGACGTACATCATGATGAACAAGATGTTAGATAAGCTTGATGCAATCTCGGGGCTATCCAGGCCCGCAATCAACATATGTGCGAACGAACTGGCGAAAAGGAAGGACGCCCAGATAACTAAAATTGTCTGAGTGCCTCGAGAATGAACTGCGTCTGTGTACTCGGCATTGCGGTAAAATCCAACGGGATAGTACCAGACGAGGAAGCAGAAGATTGCCATGACCTTATTGATTTTACGGAATTAGCAACAAAGAGCAGTGAAGAAAGAAGTTGGCTAGGAAATGTCCACGACTTACCGTATTCCAGAAGAGCTCAACGGTGATGTTAGATAAAATGAAAGCTTGCCACGCATAAGTCTTTGACTGCCGCTCACGGGACTCGTAGAGTGTGCGCTGTGTGACAAACGACGGGATGATTTGGAGAACAAGTTGGACGATCACAAAGAGGAAGACAAAAACACCGAATAGTTGGTTCTGTAGACCCTGCTGAGTATTCTCCATCTTAAACAAAGAAAATCCGATAAATAGAGCCTGGTGAAATAAAATTAGCCTTCATCAGCTGCTGAGCAGGCTAACCATAAGACTTACACTACCAACTGTCAACAAAGCTTTGGAATAGACGTAGGCAGGGGTGCGCCAGTACTGCTGAAACACACGACGTCCAACATGGGTGAGCTGCTCAAAAAAGGGTGCTGCGAATTCCGTATAGCTTGATAGGTCGTCCGATACTGTCGCCTGGTTGTTACCCAATTCCCTCAGTTTAGCAAGTTCCCTCCGGACTTCTGAATGTTCAGGACTATTCCTCCACACGGAAGGCCAGTCAATCTCTGTTTGCGCTCCGGGTGCAGCGCCGATTACCTCAAGCATATATTCTGCTGGATTGTGGCCTGGAGGGCAAGCAGAGCCGCCATTGCGAAGAAAATAATCTGTGAGGGTTTTTGCTCCCTGGCCAACGTCGCCAAAATAGACTGTCTTACCCCCCTTAGCGAGTAGAAGGAGTCTGTCAAAGCGCTGGAATAACATGGCGGAAGGTTGGTGAATTGTACAAAGAATCGCCTGCCCGTTCCGTGTCAGGGTCTCCATGAGGTTGCAAATCGACCAAGAAGTTTGACTGTCTAAGCCAGAAGTAGGCTCATCGAGGAATAGTAACAGCTTAGGACGGGCAACCAATTCGACACCGATCGTGAGACGTTTCCGTTGTTCAACATTGAGACCCTCGCCTGGAACTCCGACAATAGCATCCGCATATTCACTCATGCTCAATAGATCGATAACTGTATCGACGTAGGCTAATTTTTCGGCGCGAGTGAACTGAGACGGCTGCCTTAGCAGGGCGCTGAATTCCAGCGCTTCCCGTACGGTTGTTGTGTGAAGGTGCAGATCCTGTTGTTGGACATAGCCAGTTTTGCGTTGGAAGGAATCATCCCGGGGTCGACCATCGACAAGCATATCGCCTCCGACAACCCCGACAGTCGTACGACTGGCTAATACGTCTAGTAAGGTGGTTTTACCCGCACCTGAGACACCCTATAAATGTCGGATTAGTTTAAATTGCGGCATTTGCATGTGGGACAGGTTGGCTTACCATGAGTGCTGTCAGTGTCCCCGGCCGGATCCATCCATCAACATGGTCCAGAATACGCCTCGCCTCGCCTTTGATTTTGACATCATACGTGACATCTTCCCAGTGAAAAATTGAAGTTTGCTTCTCAACCCCGGCAATGGTTTCAGGTGCCTCGTTGGGTGATTTCTCGTTTTGCACCACGCGGCATGGCAATTGCTCCTCATCGCCCTTGTTGCGCTTTGCTCGAGCTTGCTGGGACTTACCACGGCGGAAAACGAGAACCTCGCCTTTAGAGCGTTGAGACGATACCAGCTCGGACGTGATCAAGTGGCAGGCTGCAAGGAAAATAGTGAGGGCGATGATGATCCCAAGGTTCCGCCACCGATGGCTGTTCTCATATCCAAAGGAAGAGCGGACAAATGATGTTCCTTGGACGACATCAGTCCCCGGAACCGCTCCTATGGTTGAGCAGACCTTTTCTTCCGCCGACACATTCTCATACCCTGGTCCAGAAGGAACGAACGACGTGCAAGGGTATCCTTGTCCGTGGAATTCATTGACCATCACGGCTTCAAATCCATACGAGACTGGATTCAGCCACCGAATCCACGAAGCCCAGCCACGCATATAGCTGACGGGAATGGCGAATCCCGTGTAAAGCACCAGCGCAAGCAAAATGATGGCCGAAGGGGCAAGAGCCTGCTCAATCGATTTCGTTAGGGAGGCGAAGAAGCGAAAGAACATTGACATGCCCATCATCATAGAAAATGACACCAATAGGAGAAAGAAGAACGGACCCGGTTCCCTTCGTAAATTTGGCAAGAAGTACAACACGAGATTGGTAAGAATTGAGTTTATGATCTTATACGGCATATCGATGATCATTGACGAGATGGCCTCAGCACTAGGGTGATAGAGTGCATATCGCACGTGCTTTTCAACGATTGTTCGTTTCTCATACAAGGTGAGAATCTCCAACACGCTTGAGAAAGCATTCAGGAGAACCATCATGAATAGGAGGGCACCCCGGGAGAAGAACGAGGAGGTGTCCTTGGGAAGGTTGTAGAACACACTGGCAACAATCAAAGCTTCAAAGAAATTTCCAATCAACATCGCGAGGGTGACACTGGGGTCATTTTTGAGTCGTTGGAAGTCTCTCCATAAGCAAAGTCGAATCTGGCCAAAATATGAGAGAGTGAATGGTGACTTTAACCGTTGTTTGCTCGATTTCTCGGTTTCTCGGGAAGATGCAAAGTGGTCAAAGTCAGTCGCATTGAACGGGTGTTCAGTTGAATATTGATGGATTTCTTTTAGCAGTGCTTGTCGCTCAGGGCTCTCTTTCCATCGCTTTGCGAAGTCATCCGAGGTTCTGGGCACTAGGTTCTCAAACCCTGGCCGAATGACTCGCTCATCAGGGCTCGACATTGAAGTCAAAAAGTCGGGCGTAGTTTGAGCCTCTGGACATACAAACCCGAGTCGGGTGAAATATCCTTTAGCTTCTTGAGCGGGACCAAAGTAAATTTGCTTCCCTTCGTAAAGAGCGGTCACTTTGTCAAAAAGCTGACAGATAGGTCAGTATAAGTTGATGACTCCTGAACTTCCGTGCCACTGATCACACTTACCTCGTAGGCTGCTTGGGGAGCTTGATAGATGGCGACACACGAAGTCACGCCAAAGACATCCCCTTGTGTTCGTAAAGTCCGGCAGAACTCTATAGCATTTGCGCTATCCAGGCCCCGTGTACTGTTGTCCCAGCACTGCAGAGGAGCGTAGCTCAATGCTGCCTCCGCAATGCTGACTCGCTTCCTCTCGCCCCCGCTGACGCCACGAACGAAGTCGTTCCCAACTTTGGTATTGACGGTGTGACTAATACCAAAAGTAGACATGATAACATCCCGCAGGTGAGTGGCGTACTCCTCGCGGTTCATTCCACCTGGGATTTCGCGAGGGGCACGAGCAAGAGCGGCGAAGTAGAGGGTGTCGCCCACCACGAGTTGAGGGTAGTGCGCATCTACTTCAGCAGTATAGATGGCCTCGCCGCGGAAGTATTTCGACATCTGTTTTGGGGTGATGCCGTGGTAATTGATGTATGACGCGGGGTCTACCTCAAACCCACGGGTTTCCCCTGCAATAGTCTTCAAGAGAGTTGAGCAGCCCGAGCCAGGGGGACCCAAAACACAAAGCTGCTCACCGGGAAGCAGTAAACCATCGATGTTTTCGAGGATGTTCAGTTTCTGTTTCTTTCCGCCAAACCACTGGTGCACGAGGGTCGGCAGCTTCAACGCCGCGTTTCCGACGCTCATTTGATAATCCAAGGGACTCCCGTAACCGCTAACGGACAAATTATTGAAAGCAACACCGGCGACACGCGGAGGAGAGCCATCATTTGCGTTGTGGCGGACACGATAGAATGCCTTGGCCCAGGCTCTGGCGTTGAAATGAGGACTTTGCGGGTCAAGAGCACTCCCTTTCCCCAGTTCGAAGGAGTGTTGATAATTCGACATGTTTGACCGCTCGCTCAATTTGCGGGCCAAGCTCGTCAGTCTCTCATCGCTGTTGATTTCTGTTTTCGTAGACGGCTCTTTGCCCACAAAATCAGATTCGAGGCTATTTGCCCGTGTTTGGCTTTGGGAGCTCATCTCGTTTCGGCTCCGTGCGAGGCAGCTCGTAATCGTAGCTTAGGTCTTGAAGCTCAAAGATTGATGAGGAATCAAAAGGTTGTATCTAAAGCATTCGGGGCAAGACATGATTGAGAAGCGACTGAAGAATATTTATACGAATTCTGCCATCTAAAGAAGTCTACAGCCAAGCCCATGTGGGTACAGCGTCTGAGCCACACAGGTTCGGCATCTTGGCTATTGAATTATCACCATGAAAACATGAAAAGCGCTGAGAGTCGTGTTGGGAGCCTGGATGCTGGATGTATGCGTGGCACCTTGGCAGGTCCAATGGAGCTGACTCAGCGGTCCCCGCGGGCTCCGAACTATGGATCTGGGCAGTCTTGAAGCTCCTAAATAAAGGGGATAGCCAACCAAAGTCGAAGCCGAGGTCCTAATTTCACCCCCGAGCTTCTTGCGTAGTACGGGCCCGCGGACACCGCTCCTCAAATTCGGATAATCCACTATCCGACTGTTTATAGCGGGAACACCGAGAACATTGTTCTAGCGCGTTTTGAATCTTGCCTGCCTATAAGATGAAAGAAAAGAACGATCATGGTCCACCTAAGCTGTGAGCCTTGCCGCTAACCACGTTCAGTGGCATTGGTTCAAGACACTTACTCTGCCTTCCAGACTGCACTTTCCAGAAAATATCGTCACCAGAAGAAAATTATACATAGGCCTGTTAACGATGCGATATCGGCATATCGTCAATGTCGTCAAAAGCCCTAAAATGTCTACGTACAATCTGTATTCTCTACCCCCAGGGTACAACCAGAGATAAATCGAAGCTTGGCTTTGTTTTCTTACCCTTGCCAAGGGATGGTGGGAGTTTGGCCAGACATTTTGTCATGAGCTAGCTACCTGCGTGGTGGCTGTATGATAGCGACTATGCAGTTTGGCCAGAGAAACGTCAGAATACTCTCAACAAGCCCTAAATCCTTCGTCCTTCAGTTCAGACAAGCGATCCATATTGATTGGTTGGAGGTGGTGCTTGCTGAGTAACGAGCGGTGGTCGGGCCAACTTTCGTGGATCACCCCAGAGCCTCAGTTACAAATCATTAGGATTGTCATTATCAAGCATTTGGCGTCTGGACCCAAGCCAAATACTACCCGCCCACTAATCCTAAATAGGTCTATAGTAGTATGTACACTCATACGGAGCTCATTCATCCCGTGTCGACTCCAATGACTCCAACGACACCAAAGTGGGAATCTGCTGATGCGTTTATCTCCGTGGAAACAGACAGCGAGATCGCCCGTCCATCGGCACCTAGGAGGTGCACATTGCCCGTCCAAGGTGGGCAGTGGGCAATTAGGGTTTTCGGGTTTTCGGGTTTTCGGATGCCTCCCCACAACGCCACAATGTCGCAGTTTAGCGGAAACTACTCTGGAAATCGTAAAGTTCCCGTACCAAGCTGTGCGGAATATTCCCGAGTTGTATTACGTAGTCCATATCATGATTAATAACTTATAGACTTATAGACTTATAGTGCTATAGTAACCAGTAAGCTAGGCCGTAGTAGACAGGCAGTTCTTAGATCAGCAGTCAGAATATGAGAGTTATGGTTTAGTATAACTTAGTAATACGTATCATGTATGTATGGAAGATCCGAACCCCTGATTCTACTATATCTCGACCAAGACAGGGGTAGGAAATTCTAAGAGACGATCTCCTAACTAGACCTAATTAGTTCGGGCTTCTAGGATTCCAAAGCGCCATTCGGTAACTTAGGGAAGTAACCGCACCGTATATCTAGTGGTGTTAGTGGGAATAGTAAGTAGAAATAGGAAGGTGTCGTAAGTGTCAGCGAAGGGGCTGTGCTCATTAACTTAGATAGGAAGTTGTGCTGTGATGTAGATCTTGTGATCAATTTATAGAGTAGCTCTAGTTTAGATATGAGCTTACGTATCCCTGAATCCCTAACCCATGGGCCATGTAACCCTTTCTGGCTAGGGTAGGCGGTCACTTATCAGCGTTATTATTGTTAAGCATTTAGCGACTAGACCCTTGCCAGATGCCGCCTGCGCCACCAACCCAAAATAGGTACATAGCAGTTCGTACACTCATGCGGAGTACATTCACTCGGAATAACTCCGTATCCATCGATTCCAACGACTCAAATGACTCCAAAGCGGGGATTGTCTGATGCTCTAGTGCTTATTCCTATTTTGGATCAGGAAGAAATTTGGTTTCCGCACAACACTCGATGAGACATTTTTGGAGTATCCAACGAAGTTGACGACGCTCCATTATCTCGCAGCCATGGAAGGCCTGCTGACAATACCCAGTCTGAGATTGCATTTAAGAGAGCCCTCATCCAACCCCTTCCAGCTAGGTTGTTGATTCTCACTCAAGATCATCTTACAGGCTTACCCTATTGAGTTATCAAAATGAAAAGCTCCTTGCTTTTGCTAGCCTTTGCCGGGTATGCTGCTTCGCAGTGTCCCTTTGCAGGGCTTTCGAGCAGCAGCGTTCCAGCGAGTCTGGCCTTGTACGGCAACGACACGGACGCTTACATGACGACCGACTGGGGTACTCCGATCCAAGACCAGCTGAGTCTGAAGGTCGGGCCCCGGGGTCCAACTGCCTTGGAGGACTTCATGTTCCGTCAAAAGCTTCAGCGCTTCGATCATGAGCGTGTAAGTTGATTAATGTTCATAACTCGACAACAGCAAGACTAACAATTATCAGGTTCCCGAACGTGTTGTGCATGCCAGAGGAGTAGGAGCGTATGGAACCTTCACTTCCTACGGCAATTGGTCCAACATCACCGCGGCCAATTTCCTCAGCGCTGAGGGGAAACAGACAGATACTTTTGTACGATTCTCCACGGTTCAAGGATTTAGGGGAAGTCCAGACACTGTCCGTGATATGCACGGATTTGCCACCAGGTTCTACACTGATGAAGGCAACTACGGTAAGCCAGCCCCTTCGCAGAGTTTCGACCCTCCGATATTAACAGGCTGAATGAAACAGATATCGTCGGAGTGACTGTGCCCACCTTCTTCATCCAGGATGCCAGTCAGTTCCCTGATCTGGTTCATGCGATCAAGCCCGAGCCTCAGACCGAGATGCCCCAGGGTGGAACCGCCCACACTACTGCCTATGACTTCTTCTCCTCGCAGCCTAGTACTCTCCACACCGTACTCTGGTTCATGGCTGGCCATGGCATCCCGCGTTCTTTCCGCCACGTAAATGGATATGCCGTGCACGCTTACCGCTTTGTGACCAACGCTGGCGACTCTGTCTACGTCCGAATGCAGTGGAGAAGTATGCAGGGCGTTGCTAGTATGGTTTGGGAAGAAGCCCAGGCGGCTGCTGGTAAGAACTTCGACTATCATCGTCAGGACCTGTACAATGCTATTGATCAGGGCCACTTCCCCGGATACGAGCTTGGTGTCCAGATTGTCCCGGAGTCTGACGCTTTGGCCTACGGCTTTGATATCTTGGACCCTACCAAGTACCTCTCGGAGGATGTCGTCCCTGTGACCTGGCTTGGAAAGATGGAGCTCAACCGCAATGTCGTCAACTACTTCGCCGAGACAGAGCAGATTGGCTTCCAGCCAGGCCATCTCGTTCGTGGCATCGACTTCTCCGAGGATCCTCTTCTCCAGGGTCGTATATACTCCTACCTTGACACCCAGCTCCAGCGCCATGGATCAGCCAACTTTGAGCAACTTCCCATCAACCGCCCTCGTCCAATTGTCCACAACAACAACCGTGATGGTTTCATGCAATCCACCATTCCCACAAACCAGTATGCGTATACCCCAAATACTCTGAATGGTGGCTCTCCAATGCAGGCCAACCAGACCATTGGGAATGGCTTTTTCACTTCCCCCGACCGTTTCTATAGCGGCAATCTTGTTCGCGAGCAAAGCCCAACCTTCAACGACCACTACACTCAGCCCCGTCTGTTCTGGAACTCCCTTGCCCCCGAGGAGCAGCAAATGGTTGTCAATGCACTCCGTTTCGAAGTTTCGCATGTCACCGAAGAGTCTGTGATCCAGAATGTTGTGACCCAGCTGAACATGATTGACAATGATCTCGCCTGCCGCGTTGGTGCAGCCCTGCATATTCCATGCCCTGCTCCCAACCCTACTTTCTACCACAACAACAAGACTGTCGGAGTCAGCGCCTTCCAACCCCTGTTCAATATTTCTGGCCTGCAGGTTGCTTTCCTTGCTTCCCAGGCCAACCCTGCTTCTCTTATCCAGGGTATGCAGCTCGCTGAGAGCCTGGCTCCCGCCCAGGTCGATGTCACCATCATCTCGGAGACCTTGCAGAATGCTAATGCGACCTACTCCGCTACGGATGGATCTCTCTACGACGCAGTCATTGTCGCCGATGGCGTTCAGAATCTGTTCTCCCCAAGCAGCTTTACCAAGCAGCCTAACAGCACCCCCGACATGCCCACAACTGTGTCTCCCTACTCGACTCTGTTCCCTGCTGGCCGTCCCCTCCAGATCCTGGTGGATGCATTCAAGTACGGGAAGACTGTGGGTGCTCTTGGCTCCGGTCATTCGGCCTTGGCAACGGCCGGAATCGCATCCAACGTCCCTGGTGTTTATCTTGCGCAAAGCATTAGCTCCTCTTTCATCTCGGACCTCCGAAGTGCATTGACTACCTTCAAGTGGCTGAACCGTTTCGCCCTGGACTCCAACTGAAGGTGCCAAACGGATGAACCAATGCTTCTATGATGTTATTTCCGATAACAACTAATTTGGAGCGCATCTAATACTACTTGAAGGAGGATGGTGTTCAGCAACCAGTTAATATTGAATTTGTAACTACTGGTTAGAACTACGTGAGCTGTGAATTTAGTGATAGATTGTCAATTTGAGGAGGCTTTTTAATCTTGGACCTGCTATAGCATGGTAGTAGTTTCGTGGAGGTTCCAGATTTCCTCACCCGCGGAGGGTAAATCCGAGGCCTATCCGGGTCAGCATATCTACGTGGCCTGGCATCTTTTAGGAAT